CAGTTGTCAGGATTGCGACTGGATTTGAGTGCTCAGAATCTTCCTCTTCCTCCTCAGGGCCAGTCCTCTAGCTCCCACAGTGAGCACACACTTCCCGCAGCTCCCAGAGCAACTTCCCAGATCCCACAGCTCACATCCACTTTTCAAGGACAAACTGCTTTTCTCTGCCGGTCTCCAGCACCAGCTCTAGTCTGCAGGGTAAAGTTTAGGCCAGATGCCTCATTTACGTGACTAGGCTGACTATGGAAGCCCCTAACCCGTGAACCGGCTGACAGGAGAGGCTGTATCAGACCCCAGTGCTTATTATTCTTGTGCCCCAAGCCTCAGCAGTACCTGGAAAAAGGGTTCACTTTCACCAGCTAACACCACAGGCAAGGGTTAGGTGTGACTGAACCAGAGGTGAGGGTCAAAGTCACTAGTATACCACTAGTTACACAATGAGGGTAAATGAGTAATAATGCTGACTTTCAGATTTGAAATTCATTATGCAGGCAAAAAGAATATCACTCCTTCACTCGATAGGTATTTTTAATTTATCTTGCAGTACTCAACCAGGGCCTCACACATGCTAGGCAAAGTGCTCTGCTATTCAATTACATCCACAGCTTTCTTTTCACTTTTTATTTTAGTTTAGCTTTGAGACAAGGTTTCTCTGTGTAGCAGCCCTGGTTCTGGAATTCACTGGCTCAAACTCACAGAGATCCTCCTTCCTCTGCCTCCTGAGTGCTGGGATTAAAGGCATGTGCCACCACACCCTGCATTCACTTTTTTTCTTATTTTTTAAATTTATATACCACTGTTTCCCCTCCCTTATCTCCTCCAAGTCCTCCCTCCTGCCCCTTTGCCCCTCGTTTCTTTCAGAAAAGGGCAGTTAGTGGTGTACACATTTGAGAACCAGAGGCAAAGGGATCTCTGTGAGTTCCAGGCCAGCTTGGTATACAAAGCAAGTTCCAGTACAGCCAGGGCTGTTAGGCAGAGAAACCCAGTCTCAAAAAACCAAACCAAACCAACAAACAAAATGCAGGTCTCCCATGGATATCAACCAAACAGATCAAGTTGTAGTAAGGCTAGACACCTCCCATCCTATTAAGGTTGGACCTCGCAACCCAGTATGAGGAAAAGGGCCCAAAAGCAGGTAACAGAGTCAGAGATAGCCCCTGCTCTCACTGTTAGTGGTCCCACAAGAAGATCAAGCTGCATAACATACATGCAGAGGGCTTAGGCAGTTCCCATGCAGTCTCCCTGGTTGTTGGTTCAGGCTCTCTGAGCCCCTAGAGCCCAGGTCAGTTGATTCTGTGGGTTTTCTTGTGGTGTCCTTGACCCCTCTGCCTCCTACAATCCTTCCTCTGGGTTTTCCACAGGATCCCCCAAGCTCAACATGTTTGGCTGTGGGTCTCTACATCTGTTTCCTTCAGTCAGTATTCACTTCTTAACTTTTAATTTTGAATTACTTAACTAAGTAACTAATTAAGACAGTGCCTCACTATGTAGTCTTGGCTAGTCTGGAACTAGATATGTAGAGCAGGCTGGCCCCTATCTGCCTGCCTTTACCTCCCAAGGCATTAAAGGCATGTGTTACGTGACCCCTCCCCCTCTTCTTTAGACAAGGTCTCACTATGTAGTCCTGGCTTGCTTGGAATTCACAGAGCTCTGCTCGCCTCTGCCTCCTAAGTCTCCCGAGTGCTGGCTGGACTTAAATGTGTGCTAAAATAACATTTATTTATTTATTATGTGTTCTTATGTGAGTGCATGTATGCCACTGTGCACGTGTGAAGGTCAGAGAACAGCTTGCAGGAATTGGGTCTCTCCTACTGTCTCAGTCCCAGTAGTTGAACTCAGGTCTTCAGGCTGGCTTGTCACCAATTCACTTTTTTTTTTTTTTTGGTTTTTCGAGACAGGGTTTCTCTGTAGCTTTGGAGGCTGTCCTGGAACTCACTTTGTAGACCAGGCTGGCCTTGAACTCACAGAGATCCACCTGCCTCTGCCTCCTGAGTGCTGGGATTAAAGGCGTGTGCCACTAACGCCCGGCACCAATTCACTTTTTAAAAAATGATTGTGTTTTATGAGTATGAGTGTTTTCTTTCATGTGTGTATGTGCTCTTAACGGTTAAGCGCCCCTCCCCCATCACTTTTGCTATAGGGACCCACTAAGTCGCTAAGTCACTCAGGTTGGTCCTAAAATCACTGTAGCCAATGATCTTGAACTTGTGATACTCCTGCCTCAGCCTCTCCAATAGGTCAGAACTAAAGCAGAAGACAGCAAGCATATAGTGGTGGCCAGGGAGGACTTCACTAACATTTCATCATGTAGCTGAGGGAGCAAGCCGCACACCAGGGAATGGAGAACTGGAGGAGACAGGAAGGGGTTGTCCTGGTCTCCTCAGGGACTTGGCTTTTCTCCACAAGAGCTGGGATGTCTTTTGATGGCTTGCAGAGGAGAAACATGTTCTAGCTTCTAGGAAATAATCCCTCAGTCTGCAGTGGTGCAGAGACTGCAAGAGGCCAGGGCCGAAGCCGTTACCCTGGTCAAGTTACACATGGTGGGACCAGGGTGCAGTAGAGGCCAAGGGAAATGCTCCCTTCTCGGATGTTTTTTAGATGTAAATCAGAACCAAGTCCATGTCAATGCCAAAGCACAATTCCTAAAACAAATTGAGAAGAACTGAAACCTCATCCATATCCAAAACTCACATGCTTCAAGAGACTCTATAAAGAAGATGAAAAAGACAAGCCACAGAGTCAGAGACAATATTTATAAAGTCTACATTTGGTAAAGAATTTGAATCTAGAATATACAAAGAACTCTCTCAACTAGATAACAATTCAAACAACCCAATTCAAAATCAGACAAAAGATTTGAATGATGCCCCCATGTACATATGAACACAGCTAATACGCACATAAAAGATGCTCTACTTCATTAGTCATCAGGAAAATGCAAATCATGACCACAACATGATACTACTTCAAGCCTACTAGAATGGTTGTAATCAGAAAGACAAACAATACCAAATGTTGGCAAGGGTGTGCAGAAATGGGAACCCTCATATATTGTTAATGGGAATGAACATTTTTGAAAATATTTTCTTCAGTTTCTTTAAAAAGATAAACACAAATTTCCTATACAACCCAGCAATTATTCCACTCTAGTTATCTACCCAAGAGAAATGCAAACACATTCGCACAAAGGCTTGTGCATAAATGTTCATAGCAGCCCTATTCATAACAGCCCCAAAGTGGAGACAATCCAGATGTCAATCAATACCACAATGGGATGCTATTCAACAGCAGAAAGGAAGGAAACACTGATGCAAGTGCAACATGGGTGACTCTCCAAAAGACATTATGCTCAGTGAGAGAAGCTAGACACAAAAGACCAACCAAACAGTATGGCTCTATTTACAGGAAACAACCAGAAGAGAGGCAAATCCACACAGGGTCTGGTTCCCTCAGCTGGGGTGGGAGCTCAAACCAGTTGTAAGTAGGCACTAGAAATGGTGGAGGCTCTTACTGAAGGGATAAAAATGTCCCAAAATTAGACAAGGTATTTTGGTAACTGTATTTTAAGGTTTATCATTTCAAATTATGTATATGCATGTGTGTGCAAGGGCATGTGCATGTGAGGGCAGTTGCTGATGGAAGTTATAGCCTCCCAAGCTGGAATTACAGGCAGTTGGGGTGCTGGGAGCTGAACTCTTGGGTCCATCTGCCAGAGAAGTATACGCTCCTAACCACTGAACCATCTTCCCAGCCCCAGGGAGCAGGAGCAGGATAATCTTATATTCAAGGATTCAAGGCAGGGCATTGGTAGCACACGCCTTTAAGACAGGCAGTGGTGGCACGCACCTTTAATCCCAGCACTTGGGAGGCAGAGACGGGCCGATCTCTATGTTTGAGACCAGTCCGGTGTGAGTTTAAAGTTAACCTGGTCTACAGAGCTAGCTAGTTCCAAGGACAGCCAGGGCTACACCTAGAAACCATGTCTTGAAAAAACGAAACAAAAAGACTTTTTTTTTTTTTTTGCGGGCGGGGGTGGGGGTGAGGCAGGGGGTAGGAGCATGTTTCAAAACAAAGTTTCTCTGTGTGGCTTTGGAACCTGTCCTGGCACTTTCTCTGTAGACCAGGAGTGACCTCAAACTCACAGAGATCCGACTGCCTCTGCCTCCAAAGTGCTGGGATTAAAGGCGTGCGCCACCAACGCCCAGCTTGCTATTAGGAATTTTGTTCATGTGAGTTCTCTTCCTTATATGATCTACAAGGGTGTCCTGTTAACATCCCTTGGCAGCCCAGAGCCTCTCAGGAATTGCTCTTAATGACTTCTAGGGATCCTTTTCGCCCTCCTAAAATGCCTAATGATTCCTAGAATCACCCTTTTTGCCCCAGAGCTGCTAATAACCCCAAAATCCTTGCTCTAGGGGAACTGTTTTTTAAGAACCCCAGAGATACCATCCTCTAGGTTCTGTCCTAATGACCCTCAAGGGCTCCTTCTCTTGGAGCAGCTCCCCTTGGAGCAACTCCCCCGCCTTGCCAGCTGGCTTCTGAGAACGCAGGACTTTTAGAACTGAGAGTCCTGGACAAACCCGGATAGGCTGGTCACGTTCTCGGGATTCCCTGACTTTTGAAACTTTCCTGGAGGTCCTCCATCGTCTTTACATCTTAGGCAAAGGGGTTACTGCAAGAAAACACGCTTACCCTTTCGCTAGAAACATCCTATAACCACCTGCTCACCCTTCCTCATTTAACCGGCCGGCCCATTTTGGAGTACTCGCCTCTTTCCACCCTGATTAGCTATGGAGGTCTGAGTCAGCTTCTGATTGGCTAACTCCGGATCCAGCTCAGATGCTCAGTGGCCGCAGTCCCGAGAGGTTCAGCGTTTTCTCCTGGCAACAGCCCGAGCGGGCTCTCATAGGCTAAACGGACTCATGGTCCCAGGCGCTGAGCAGCTGTAGTGAACACTCATTGGCTGGGTGAGGGCTTGAAGTCACCCTCGGATTGGTTGATTATGGGGGTCTGTGAGGCTGCGCAGAGTCTGACTTTAAAGGAGGCGGAGCTTTGTCTTTCGTCCTCAAGAAAGACAGTGGGATCGGCGAGTGGCGACAGCAGAAACGGAGCCTGAGCCCTGCCAGGGCTTTAGGCTTTTGGTGAGAGCCATGGGGCTTTGGATTTCTTTGGGTTTGATGCTGCCACAAACCGTGATCCCAATCTTCGGTGGGGGAGGATGGCGGGGGGGGGTCTTTCCTCTGCTAAGTGATCGACATGTCTCTTAGCCAATAGAAAATGGAGTTCCTAAAGTGAGTTCTGTGATTGGCCCTTTCCAATCTCTAGTGGCCAATGGTCGTCGGGAGAGGGGGGCGGGCCCACTGGGCCTTATTTTCTTCTTCCTGCGGCCGGGCCTCCCTTGCCAAGGCGGTGGGGCCGGGAGGGGCTGTGTGTGTAAGTGTTGAGGTGTGGGGACACTGGGAACCTGGGCTGCTTTGGGATGGATGCCGCGGGGGTGGCTGCGGGGGCGGAGAGTGCGGGAGTTTCAGGTCACTGTTAGCAACAGCTGCCTTTATGGAGTGCATAAGTACCAGGCCTAGCGTCTAGGTTTCGCTTGCATCATCTGAGTTAATAATATCAATCTGCAAGGCAGGGGTTTGGGATCCCCATTTTGCAGGTAGAGAAACTGAGGCTCATCCAGCCTGCTCACATAGCCAAGGTCACGTAGTTAAAAGGTGGCAGAGACCGGGTCAGTATTCGGAGTTTTCACTCTAGAACCCTGGACTCTTGCTTTGTTGCTGAATGCGGGTGGGAAGGTGTCCCGGGCCAGATTTCCCCTAGGGAATATATTGCAGGAAGGGAACCCTAGGGTTAAAGAAACGGCATGATCCGCTGAAGTGAGCAGAGGAAATGAGTTATTCAGCAGTTACTAAGTGCCTACTGTGTGGCATGCATTGTTCTGGGTTCTGGGCACACAAAGATAAATCGGACCAGAAGCGAATGAAGCACCATTTATGGCCCCTTTGACGCCCAGGGGAGGGGGCCCAGTTTGGTATCTATGTTATATTTTTGTAAAAATTTCAAAAGTAGAATCTTTTGAAGTTTTTCTTTTAGAAGGAAAGCTCCCAGGTTAAGTAGGCGTCAGGTTCCTCCACACTTGAATACTCTGTTGCAAAGTTCAGGTAGGTATTAGGGCTGAGGTAGCAGAAGGTGGTGAAAGGTGCTTTAGGGAGGGGACTGTGGGCATATTTCCGGGTATGTAAAACAGGGATAACAGTATTCCTGTCATGCAAAGTTCATGAAAAACGCCTAACAAGAACTACCCTAAAGAGTTTCTGTGGCATTGTTTGTCTGCTATCTTGGATGGTTTTACTCGATGCTGGAAGGTTGTAGGTTTGTAAGTTTGCTTGCATATAGTAGGAGTGTCAGTGGTTTCGGGGAAGCAGAATTCTTGGGCTGTGGGTGAGGAGGTCCAGTAAAGGATATACTAGTTTTGCTTCTAAACTGGCTCATTTTTAGTGTGCATTATTTTTCCAGTTGTGGTGATATGTTATATTTCCAACAATGGGAGTAGGGTCTGCCCTCTTCTTTTGTTGTTGTTGTTGTTGTTTTTTGTTTTACGAGACAGGGTTTCTCTGTATTGTTTTGGAGGCTATCAGTCCAGCCCAGCCTCGAACTCACAGAGATCCGCCTGCCTCTGCCTCCCAAGTGCTGGGATTAAAGGCGTGCGACACCACCTCCCTGCTCAGGGTCTGCCCTCTTATTTGAGGTTCTCATCCAAAAATAATTATGTCTTTTCCCTCTGCAGTTAGGAAGTTTGCCCTGTATTCCAGCTCATTGCCTGTTTAAATTTGTCTTGTGAATTCTGGTTTCAGTGCAGATAAGCTGAGCTTGACTTCACTGAATACTGCTGAAACTGTTTTGATATAGATAGAACAGTTTCAGTGTAGTGTTTTATATGTATGGGTTTTTTTTTTTTTTCTTCTAGACAGGGTTTCTCTAGCCCTGGTCTTGGGACTCAGAGAGATTGCCTGCCTCTGTCTGCACCTGCCCCCCCCCCCTCATCAAAGGTGTGTGCTATTACCACTGGCTGACTGTAGTATTTTAAACTCACAGCATACAGTTAATATTAAGGTACTTTTTTGTTTGTTTGTTTTTCCTTTTTTTTTTCTCAAGACAGGGTTTCTCTGTATTGTTTTGGAAGCTGTCTTAGAACTTGCTTTGTAGACAGGCTGGCCTCGAACTCACAGAGATCCGCCTGCCTCTGCCTTCCGAGTGCTGAGATAAAGGCACGTGCCACCAACGCCTGGCTATGTGCAGTTTTGATACATCAGATTTTTGTTTTGTTTTGGTTTTTGCTTTTCTGAGAGAGGGTTTCTCTGTGTAGTCCTGGCTGTCCTGGAACTCACTCTCTAGACCAGGCTCGCCCAAACTCAGAGATCCATCTGCCTCTGCCTCCTGAGTGCTGGGACTAAAGGGGGTGGGCCCCCACCCACCTGGCATATCAGTTGGGTTTTTTTGTTTGTTTGTTTGACAAAATGTCTTGTGGAGATTGATTTCCAAACTCTTGATCTTGCCTCCTCCTTAGTGCTGGGATTGTAGGCTTCTATTCACCTTTTGGCTTCCTCTGGTTCTTTCTAACCAGGTCATTTCAATAACTATCCTAGAGACTGTTTCCTTGTTTAATTTTGTTCCCTTATTAATTACTTCAGGTTTTTATCCAATTCAACATTAAAAAAGAGAAAAAAAAATGGCTTCTGAATCGGAAACCTTGAACCCCAGTGCTCGGATAATGACCTTTTACCCCACCATGGAAGAGTTCCGGAACTTCAGTAGATACATTGCCTACATAGAATCCCAAGGAGCTCATCGGGCTGGGCTAGCCAAGGTAAGGAGCTGGGGAGCTAACCTGCTTAGGCAGCCATTACAAGACCATTTCTGGTCTTTGTAATTGGAAATTAGTTTCTGATTTGCACTCATTTTCTCTGTGTATTGAATTAATGTTGTCCATCCTCGTCTCCCCATCCCCCCCATCCCCTCACCAACTCATCCTTTCACACAGGATGTTGCAGTCATGTTTTTGGGTCCCTAAAGATGAAATGGGCAGCAGATACATACACACACACACACACACACACACACACATATATACATATATATATACCCCCAATGAAGACCTGAACTGAGTTGTACTGAGAGTCAGGGTGTTGCTAATCCTTGCTAAGGTCACTGTGCACAGTGGACAATTAGGGTGAGGGGCAGGAAAGGGAGCAGCCAGTGTCTCCAGTCCTGGCCTGGGGCTTCAGGACCCTTGTGGGGGCTGGGTGCTTTATAGGATTTTATCTACTGCCAGTTGTTTCGCCACCCATCTTCTCTCGTTGCAGTCTCATTATACACTTGATAGAATTTGGTTTCCCATGGGGACTTTCTTCGAGGGAGAGAAAGCATTGGCCAGACCCCATGAGTATCCTGGCCTTTGTAATTTGTAATTGGTTTCTGGTTTGTACTTCCTTTCCCCTATGTACTGAATTAGGGCCATCCTCCCCATCCCTAGTCAAATTAGCCCTTTTCAGTCACAGTCAAGGTTTTCTGAGTCCACCACAGTAAGGACATTGCATTTCTTTTTTTGGGGGGGGGTTGAGACAGGGTTTCTCTGTGGCTTTGGAGGCTGTCCTGGAACTAGCTCTTGTAGACCAGGCTGGGATTAAAGGTGTGCACCACTACACCCAGCACCTTAGGACTGCTTTTCCAGCCCTTTAAAAATTTTTTTTATTTTTATTATTTTTTTTTTCAAGACAGGGTTTCTCTGTATTGTTTTGGAGGCTGTCCTGGAACTCGCTCTGTAGACCAGGCTTGCCTCGAACTCACAGAGATCCGCCTGCCTCTGCCTTCCGAGTGCTGAGATTAAAGGCGTGCGCCACCAATGCCTGGCTTTTCCAGCCCTTTTTGATATGGAAAAAAGAAGAAATTGAGTTACAAAGCTGAGGACTAGTCTTGGACCTTGGTGTCTTCTCTGAGATGCCCAAAAGCTATCTTGACTCCTTTGAGGTTCAGAGAGTACTTACTAGATTTTATATAAAAGCTGTTCGGATTCTTAAGATGCGTATCCATTATTTTCTTTCATAAAAGTCATGTTAGTTACTTTTCTTGGTTGAGACAGGGTCTTACTGGTAGCATAGGCTAGCTAAGAGTAGACTAGGTAGTTATGCTGGTCTCAAACAGGAGACAGCCTGAAGTACTGCACTGACAGGCATCTGCCAGCACAACTATTTATGTGACTGTTTGCTTAAGAGCCCTAGGCTGTTCAAGAATCAACTCTTCAACCTGATAAGGTGTCTAGGTTTACAAGTTTGTTTTGCTTTGGTCACTGAGCTAGATTATAGGATGATCAGTGTTAGGTCCACAGTGTGATTTCCTGGGTTTGGAGGAACATAGGTCAGTCAGTTATTTTCTGATAAAATGGATGGCTAGTTTGTTTTTTTGTTTGTTTGTTTTTTTGTTTTTTGTTTTTTTTTTTCGAGACAGGGTTTCTCTATATTGTTTTGGAGCCTGTCCTGGACTCACTCTGTAGACCAGGCTGGCCTCAAACTCACAGAGATTCGCCTGCTTCTGCCTCCCAAGTGCTGGGATTAAAGGCGTGAGCCACCAACGCCCGGCTTGGATGGCTAGTTTGAATGGTGGCTTACACACTTGCTAGAGTCTGGCTTGTTAGATTCTCATCTGCCTCAATCTCTATGTTCCCTGTAGGTCGTTCCTCCCAAAGAATGGAAGCCACGAACATCCTATGATGATATTGATGATCTCGTCATCCCTGCACCCATCCAGCAGCTAGTGACCGGTCAGTCTGGACTCTTCACTCAGTATAACATACAGAAAAAAGCCATGACTGTTCGAGAGTTCCGCAAGATCGCCAATAGTGATAAGTGAGTGGGAATACCTTTTTTGGTTGTTTTTCCATTTTGTTCTACTTTGTTTTTGAGACCCATTTTGCTGTGTAGCCTAGCCTGGCCTCATCCTCCAAGTGCAGCAGTTATATAGGCATGTGCTTTAGGCTCAGCAAATAAAAATACTTTTTTTCCTGTCTTAACATCTAGGCCTAGTATTGCTTCTTCTTCTTCTTCTTTTTTTTTTTTTAGATTTATTTATTATGTATACAGTGTTCTATCTGCATGTTGGCTTGCACATTAGAAGAGGGTATCAGATCCTATTACAGATGGTTGTGAGCCATCATGTGGTTGCTGGGAATTGAACTCAGGACCTCTGGAAGAGTAGCCAGTGCTCTTAACCTCTGAGCCATCTCTCCAGCCCTAGTATTGCTTCTTTTAAAAGAATTTTAAACTTTATTTAATTTTGAGACAGGGTCTTACTTTGTAGCCCTGGGTAGCCTGAAACTGGTTATGTAAAGCAGACTAGACTGGCTTTGAACTCAAAAGAGATCCTCCTGCTGCTGCCTCCAAGCCTTAGGATTAAAGGCACACACCACCACATCTGGCTGTTTCTATTTTATTTTATTTATGGGCAAATATGTGTAAGTATATGCATGCCATACATGAATACAGAACTCAGAGGACAACTTTCAGGAGTCAGTTCTCTCCTTCCACTTTTCCATGGGTTACAGGAATCAAAGTCAGGTAGTCAGGCTTGTCAAAGTACTTTTGCCCGCTAGCCATCTCTCTGGTCCTGGGATTGCTTCTTCATAGCTGTATTACTGAAGAACACTTACCTTGGTTCAGGCATCAGGTTCCCTTTCTGCTCTTTTGTTTGTTTGTTTGTTTGTTTTGAGACTGTCTTGGAACTCTCTCTGTAGACAAGGCTGGCCTCAAACTCATAGACATCAGCCTGTCTCTGACTTCTGGGTGTTGCGATTAAAGGCATGTGCCACCACTGCCTGGCTGTCCATGTTCTCTTTCTAATTAATTTATTGTGGGAGTATGTGAGCATGCATGCTATGGCACTTGTGTGGAAATCTGAAGAACAACTGTGAGAGTTATAGACCCATTCTGACATGGGTCCCAGGGATCAAACTCAAGTCATCTAGCTTGGAGGTAGTCACTTTATATCCACTGAAGCGTCTTGCTGGCCCTTGTTCTTATATAAAGTGGTCCTGCTGTTTTCTCCTCCATAGCAGTCAATTGTTTTCTTTTCAGTTTTTATTTCAGTGTGTAGGTATTTTGTCTTCATGTATGTGTGTGTAAGGCACCATTCAGATGCTGGAAATTGGCCCAGTGTCCTCTGCAAGAGCAACAAGTGTTCTTAACCACTGAACCATTTCTCCCCTACCAGTACTTTATTTTAAAGCCAGGCATGGTAGCACACACCTCTAATGCCAGCCTGGTCTACAAAGTGAGTTCAGGACAGCCAGGGCTGTTACACAGAGAAACCCTGTTTCAAAACCACCCCCCTAAACCCAAAAAAAACAAAAAAGATTTTATTGTACCAGCATGGTGGTGCATGCTTTTAATCATGCCACTTGGGAGGCAGACTCAAGCAGATCTCTGAGTTTGAGGTCCCTCTGGTCTATACAGCAAGTTCAGGACAGCCAGAGCTATGTGTCTCATGCATCCAAAAAATTTTTTATCTTATTTTTGTGTGTTTCTGTGTCTGCACTCATATAGCTACCCTCAAAAACAGGGTGTCAGGCACATCCTGTGGAACTGAAGAATGAGGCTGTTGGAGGCCATCCAGTGTGGGTGCTGGGAACTGAACTCAAGTCCCCAGCAGGATCAGTGAGGCTCTTAATTGCTGAGCCATCTCTCTGCCCCAGTTGCAGTAGGGTTTTTGGCTGGTTTGTTTTCCGTTACTGCTGAAGATGGAACCCAAGGCCTCTTACACATTATCTAGAGATCCAGCCCCAGCAGTGTGGTGGGTCTTTGACTCTGGAAAATTGCATAGTTGTAGAGGAGAAAGTTGGAGGTGAGGCAAAAGGAACTTTTTCTGGATATATCCATTGCACCTACTTTGGTCATTTCCATTCCTCTTCTGTCTGTCATGTGTAGCCAGCTCTGTGTCCCACTGCTTGGATACCCGCACAGAACATGTGAGAGAATAATTACCACTCTGGTTACTGTTCACTAGCCCTCCTTAACTCCTCTTGCTGTATTTTCTTCCCAGTGTCTTTGCTTACTCTGCTTGCTGTTTGCAGGCATTCTTTTCCATGGCTGCTTTTACGGTTCAGCTCTCAATCTCACTCACACTCCCAGAGATGAGCTCTGTTACGGGCCTTGCACTCTGCTCTCCTTCTTGAACTTCTCACTTGCCACTTGGCTCAACCCTGAGGACCCACGGGGATCCCTTCTCCCTCCCTTTCTTTATTCCCTGAGTCTTGTTGGCCTTGATTTCAGTCTGGCAGTTGGAGCTGTACCTTCACTGAGCAAGGCCAGTTTTAAGTCTTGAGTTTGCCACCTTCACACTGGGCACAATTAGGGCACCTTATCATCACCCTCCCTCCCACCTCAGGTGCCTTTGACTCTTTGCTTTTTCATCTTGGGTTTGTTGAACTCCTAAAACATCTACATCGCTGGCCAGCTTTTTGGCTAGTGAGTGAATTTAGGCAAAAGTCTGAAGTGTACGGTGCCGTGGATTGAAGTCTGAACCACCCCTCATGTCTACTCTCAGCTGTGTCCTGGGCCAAACTTACCTGCTTTTTTTCCACACAGGGCCCATCAAGACTTCATGCTCCTCTCTGTCATCTTTTTTTAAAAAAAAGAAAACAAAACTGTGTGTGTGTATTTGTGTTGCCTGATGTATATATGTGCACCACATGCCAGAAGAGGACATCAGAATGCTCGGGACTAGAGTTACACATGGCTGTGAGCCACCATGTGGGTGCTGGGAATCTAATCCGGGTCCTAGAAGAGCAGCCAGTGCTCTTAATTGCTGAGCCATCTCTCCAGCCTCCTGCCATCTCTGCTTGTCATTACATGTCAGTTTTTTCCTTCTTCCTGCACTTTTTAATGTTAAATTACCCAGCTTACCACCTTCACTCCAGTGTGCTTTTACATTTTTTAAAAATTTTATTTACTTTTTTGTGTGTGTTGCTAGGGCCTAAAGCAAGCTTTTACCGCTGAGCTACATTTTCACCATCCACCCTGATAAAAAAACTTTTTTGCCTCTAATTTCTATTGTTGCTAAGTACTTTTACCCGAGTACTGCTTTCAGTCCCTTTGATTATCTGTTAGACTCTGGGAATACAGCAGTGACTAGTGAGCTATTAGGAGCAGTTTCCTTGCCATTAGTGTAGACACGCTGGCGTTGTTCCATGGCCTCTGCTCTCCACATCCTGGAGGGTTTGGTGTGTGGATGTAGCTGGATTTGTGTCTTTGGTTTTTGTGTTTGTGAGCCTGTCCTCCCCTGTCACTCTAGACTCTGCAGGGTATGACAGCCTCTCCAGAGAGGTGAGGATATCATGTTCCTAAGACACAGTGGGTCACATCTGTGCCTGTGACCTTTCCCCAGCTTCCTCCTGTCCATGGCCTCCAGAGGGAGATGCTGTGTATTAGACTGGCCTGGAATAGACTGTAACCCAGGTAACCCAGGCTGGCTTTTACTCATGTGGTGATTCTGTCTGATCTCCTGAGTGTGCAGATGGGACCGTATTAGGGCTTAGAAGGCCAAGATTGTTTGCTTGTTTTGTTTTGTAAAGCAGAACAAATACAGATCTATTAAAGAAAAGGGAAGAAAACAGCTTCAGAATGAGAGGTCCAAAGGAAGGAATATTTTCTAAGTTTAAACTTTTTATTTTATGTGTAAGGGTGTTTGCCCACATGTTTGTTTGCATACCAAGTACTAACTTAGGCCAGAAGAGGTGTCAGGTCCCGGAACTAGTGTTATGGATGGTTGTGAGCTACCATGTAGGTGCTCTGGACCACTTATCTCTCCAGCCTTGGAGGGTTGTGCTTTTGATTTTTGTTTTTCCAATTTTTCAAGACAGGGTTTCTCTGAAGCTTTGGCTGGCCTAGAACTTCTTTAAACCAGGCTGGCTTCAAACTGAGAGATCTGCCCACCTCTGCCACTGCCTGGCAAGCAGTGCATACTCTTAACTGCTGAGCCATCTCTTCAGCCCCTGTTTTGTTTCTATGAGACAGTGTCTTGTGTAGCAGAGGCTGACCGCATTCTGATTTTTTACATGCCTCCCAAGTACTGGGGTTGCAGGCATGTTCAAACCATGCTTGGTTTGAAACAGAGCTTTATGCGTGCTAGGGAAACACTGTTATCAACTGAGCCACATTCCCAACCTTGCATATTGTTCTTTTGCCATGTTTAGTTGTCCCTGGAATAGTGGCTTGTATCTTTTTTTTTTTTAAGGATTTATTTATTTATTATGTATACAGTATTCTACATGTATGCCTGCTGGCCAGAAGGGGGCACCAGGTCTCATTGTAGATGGTTGTGAGTCACCATGTGGTTGCTGCGAATTGAACTCAGGACCTCTAGAAGAGCAGTCAGTGCTCTTAACCTCTGAGCCATCTCTCCAGCCCCAGTGGCTTGTATGACTCATAATAGCTAATAAACTTATTCTCCTGTTGTCTTAGTTACCTTTCTGTTGCTGTAATAAAGCACTGTGACCAAGGTAACTTATAAAAAGTGTTTAATTGGGCTTATGGTGTCAGAGGGTTAGAGTCGGTGATGACAGAGCAAGGCATGGTGGCAGGGACAGCTGGTAGTGCCCATCTCAGATGGCAAGAGGGGTCAGAGCACACTGAAGGATGAACAGAGGCTTCTGAAGCTCTCAGGCTGTTCCCCAGGGACACACCTCCTCCAGGAGGCCGCACTTCCTAACCCTTCCCAGTTCTACCAACTGAGGGCCAGTATTCAAACACGGTTTTGTGGGACCTGTAAATGGCTAACATCTTTATTTTATTTTTGGAAGGTACTGTACCCCACGGTACAGTGAATTTGAAGAACTTGAGCGTAAATACTGGAAAAACCTCACGTTCAATCCTCCCATCTATGGTGCAGATGTGAATGGTACGCTCTATGAAAAGGTGAGGCCACTAAGAACCCTACAGTTTTTGCCCGGCACACAGTAGGTACTTTGCCTGGCATTCAGTAGGTGCTTGAAAGCTGGTGAATGGGCAGATGAACAGACCAGTTCTCTTCCACCGATTTGTGGTCCTCTCTTCCTTGTTGCAGCTCTGCATGTGACTGAATTTTGTGTCTCCCACACTGCATATGAATTGGGTGCTGTGGTGTCCTTTTCAAGGCTTGTGCATAGTCTGTGGGTGGTAGGTGATGAGCTCTCGAAAGGGCGGGGGAGAAGGAGCAGCGTGGTTTCTGCAGGAATAGGCTCTGACTAATCAGATGGAAGGGTGGGAATTGAAGAGCTTTCTCCAGTGAGATTCTGTAACAGCTATTTTAACTGCTTTTACTGGCTTGGCTTTTTTGGGCTAACAAATTGCTTTACTATGGTAGAAGGGTGAATATTTGGGTCTGTCTTTATGGTAAATAAAAAACCTATAATGCTTTTCAGGGGTTGTCTCTCGGATTGATTTTAATGTTAAGTTTGTTGATGTCACATGTGGAAGGTGACAGGATGGTGCAGGGACAGGTCCAGAAAGAAGTGGGTGCCAAGGTCCACGTGGAGGGACACCTGGTGGGGTGGAGGGTGGGGAAGGTGACGGCTGCAAGTCCCTGAGGTGGAGGTAGAGCAGCAGGGAGCAGCATTCTGGAACCTGCTTGGGTTCTGAAATGACATTAGAACTTAGGGAAAGGATGTGGGTTCCGTCAGGGTTGATGGCCATTTCACTGGCCCTTAATTATTTTTAAATTTTACTTCGTATTTTTTCCAACTTTTTTATTTTCTAATTTTACCTACATACCTTCCATCCATCTGTGTGTCCATCATCCCCTTCCCCCCCTTTTTTTTTGTGACAGGGTCTAACTGTGTAGACCTGGCTGCCTAGAACTTGCTATGTAGACCAGACTGGTCTTGAACTCATAGAGATCCACCTGCCTCTGACTCTTATGCAGGAATTAAAGGTGTGTGCTTCCATGCCTGGCTATTTATTTATTTTGAATGTGGTGGTTTTGATAATCCACATTTTAGTCAGCAGTGACAGGTCCCCCAAGACCCCTGCATTTAAGTATGTGTCCTGAGCTGCTATTTCCTTGGCAGCATGTTGATGAGTGGAATATTGGCCGACTGAAGACTATCCTGGACCTGGTAGAGAAGGAGAGTGGGATCACCATCGAGGGGGTTAACACCCCATACCTGTACTTCGGCATGTGGAAGACATCGTTTGCCTGGCATACAGAAGACATGGACTTGTACAGCATCAACTACCTGCACTTCGGAGAGCCAAAGTCTTGGTAAAGTCACCACACTTCTGTCAACACGTGGCTTCTGAGTCTTCATACACATGGGAAGTGTGGATTCTGGGTACCAGCTTTGGGATGGAGCTGGCATTCTGCATTGAGTTATGCTTTGGGAGCCCAGAATGCCTTTGAGTAGCAAGTTCTATTTTTGTTCTTTGTTCGGGACAGGGTCTCAACCTTGTGGCCCGGGTTGGCCTTAAAGTTGAGGTCGTTCTGCTTCAGCTTCCCATGGGTTGGAATGAATAGGTATTTGCCTCCGTGCATGGCTGAACAGAGGGATTTAGAGAACAGAGTGTTTAAATATGTACAAAACCATGCTTAATATGATGGTGGAGTTACTCAAAGTCATGGGGCTGTTCCAGGCTTGCTGATGTTTTTCGATTCTCTCTTCTCATTGGCCTGAGGCTTTTTTTATTATTATTATTTATTTATATATATATATTTATTTATATTTATATATTACCTGGTTGTCCTGGAACTGTGTAGATTAGGCTGGCCTCAAACTCAAAAGATCCACCTGCATCTACCTCCCAAGGGCTGGGATCTAAGGCGTACACCGCTGTGCCCAGTTCCTGGGACATTTATTAAATTTACTCTTCATATGTTAGGACTATTTCTTTGCTTATGGAAAAGTGATTTGGTGTGCAGCAAATGCAGCTATGCTGAACATGTTCCCACTTTCCACATATTAGGGGAGACCGCATACTGCCCTGTCTCTCGCTGTCTGCCTTTAGTGGAGGCTCTGCCTGTGACAGCAGTGAGCAGCACATGTGAGGCACTCGGCCTACAGATAGGAGGCTGGTCAGGATACACCAGGAAGCACAAAAGTGACAGCATGGTGAAGGAAAGGCTGAGGAAGGACTCGCAGGTGGGCTGAGGACAAGAGATGGCTTTTGAAGTGAGAATAGGCTGGGACCTGGGAAGGAGGTGACAGCTGGATGGAATGGTGGTAGGCAGGGAGGAGGGGATGAGGGGAACACTGCCCAGGCTTGAACTGCAAGTGCAGAGCTTTGATTGACAGAGGACACGTGCGCTTAGAAGTCCACTGATGCTGTGTCCCACCGTGCTGAACTGAAATAGTCCTCAGTACAAATTGTGAAGGGTAAAATAAGGTAACGGAATAGGAAGTTTAGCAGTGTTGTAGAAGTTTTACATACTAAATAGTCTTTTTATTTTTATTTATTTTTTTTTTGGTTTCGAGACAGGGTTTCTCTGTGTTGCTTTGGAGGCTGTCCTTGAACTCACTCTGTAGACCAGGCTGGTCTCAAACTCAAAGGCATTTGCCTGCCTCTGCCTCCCTAGTGCTGGGAGTTTTAAATAGTCTTGGGTGGTTTTATTTTCTTTGTTTTTCCATAAAGAGCAACTCTGTGATGTCTAGACACCACATCGCATGGAGGAGTAATTAATCACTGGGTAATCAGTGTATGGTAGAGAAATGGGTTCATCCGCAGGACAGGGCCAAGTCTCAAGGTGCCCAGTCCTTGGTCGCCATGTTTCCCATTCCTCCAGCCTCTCCATCAGGCCTTTCCAGGAGCATTGTGAAAACCTTCACAGCAATGTCATGGCCCCTCCCCAACATCCATGAAACAGTTTTATTATGGGGTACTTTAGTAAGGAGGGAAACGTCGTGTTCTGTGAATTCTTAGCCAGTGCATGTCTTGTTAAGTGAACATAGAAGAAATAAGTTCATACTTCTATGTGGGTTCACTACTCCTTTGTCTTAAAGTCAGATACCTCATTTCCATAGATTGTTTTTTAGTGTCCCCAGTGTAACTCAAGCTGGCCTTGAATTCTTTATCTTCCTATCTCAGCCTTTTAGTTTTTCTTTGCTTGAGGTGTTCTGAGGAAAAATATATTTTAAGCTTGGCATGGTGGAGCACACCTTTAATCCCAGCACTAGGGAGGCTGAGACTGGCAGATATCTGAATTTGAGGCTAGCCTGGTCTATATATTGAGTTTCAGGCAAGACAGGACTCAACCCCTTCCCCTGCAAAACTATTTGTAGCTGGCACATAGTGATTATACATATTTATGGGCTGTAGTACCATATTTCAGTACATGTAGGTTGGGGGATTTGACAAACATCACCTCAGACATTTGTTGTTTCTCTGACCTGGGAGCCTTCAGGATCCTGTCTGTTCCTTCAAGGTGTTTGTGAGTGAGTGCAGCCTCTTCCCCTTGTCCTCTGCTGGTGTCTGATGTTACAATGTGATTACAGGTACTCTGTTCCACCTGAGCATGGGAAACGCCTGGAACGTCTTGCCAAAGGTACTGTATTCCCTCTGGAGACAGGGTCAGCCTTTTCCAGATTAACTCCCTGCCATGAAATGTCCATTCTCTGTGGTCAGATAGATGACCTGTGACCTTTTACAGGCCTGTAGGTGGGATGGGTGTATGAGCTCAGCTGCTATATCGCACACTGTAGTGAAACAGGCCCAGTCTGAGGCTTTCTTAGTCATCTGAGGAGGACTTGGTTGGTCCTTTTTGTACTCTCTGCTGCCAATTCTCTAAACCTCAACCATGAAGTGACTTGGTCAGGTTCTCCTCACCAAGTTCCAAATGTGAAAGCCCAAATTGAGTTACTATTTAGGTGTAGGGGTGTGGAGAGAGAGAGAGAGAGAGAGAGAGAGAGAGAGAGAGAGAGAGAGAGAGAGAGAGAGAGAGAGAATATCAAACTGTCCATGTGGTGTGCTCCCTTTCAAAGGTTAGGGGTACAGAAGACTTGGTCTTCAGGGCCTGGAGAAGGTTGTAAGTAGTTCTCAGCTCTGTAAGAACAAAGGTGGCTTTGAGTGTCTAAGCGCTGCCAGACTGATTACCCAGGTAACCTCCTCCTGGGAGAGCTGGCAGCTAGCTCTCCAGAGGTCTCACTCTGCTTAGAATGAGCAGTGGCACCCCTCCCTCCCCTCCCTCTCTCTTTTTTGGCCAGGTATGGTAGTTGATGCCTTTAATTCTAGTAAAGGCAGACTGATTGCTGTGAGTCCCTGGCTACACAGTGACCGCATTTTTTGTTTGTTTGTTTGCTATAATTTTAATTTACATGCTTGAGTGTGTTGTGTGTCTGTGTTTGTGGAGGCCAGGAGAGGGTGTTGGATTCCTTGAAGCGAGAGTTCTAGGTGCTTGTGAGCTGTCTTCCATGAGTACTGGTAACCAATCCCAGTACTCTATAAGAGCAGTAAATGCTCTTAACTGCTGAGCTGTTCTCAGCATCTCTCTGATGACTGTCTTTATCATTCCTGAGATGTGCAGCTGTGAAGTGACTTCAGGATCCCAGAGCTGGGCAGAGCCTCCTCTTAATACAGACCTCCATCCTTTCACACAGGCTTTTTCCCAGGAAGTGCTCAAAGCTGTGAGGCCTTTCTCCGCCACAAGATGACCCTGATTTCCCCATTAATGCTGAAGAAGTATGGCATTCCCTTTGACAAGGTGACCTGCCTGTGGTTCTCAGAGAAGTGGTGGGCGGAGTAGTTCCCATCTCTAGGGTGGAGGTTGATAACGGTGGCTCATGTGCTCTCCTGCTGCTGAGGGCAGGGCGGCATTAATTGGGAAGAATGAGTAGTTGGGCTCTTAGTGATTCAAGACCTGGCGGTTTTGACTTAGCCTTGGCTGATCAGCTAAGTGGTGGCAAAGAGACACTCAGGAGCCCAGCTCTATCCTCTGCCATGTGTGGCAGTTGCTTTAAGCCCACTTTTTGTTCAGGTGACCCAGGAAGCTGGAGAGTTTATGATCACTTTCCCATATGGTTACCACGCTGGCTTCAACCACGGCTTCAACTGTGCCGAGTCTACCAATTTCGCTACCCGCCGATGGATTGAGTATGGCAAGCAAGCTGTACTGGTAAGCCTACTTCATTTGTTCCGTAACAAGATCGGCAAAAGCGTCTGGTTGAAGAACTTCTTGTCCGAACTTTTTTTTGAACTGTTGGAACCTGGAACAGTTGCTGGGAATGTGGGGGTGCCAGCATTGTGTGTCCATAAAAGCTCATTTTTTGTTGTCTCTCATTCTATAGCCCTGAAACATTGTAGTCCGGGCTTGCTTCAAACTCTAGGCAGTCTCCTGTGTATTGGATTATAGGTGCATGTCATCATTTGTGGCTTTTTTTTTAATTTAAAAAAATTATATTTTTAGCAGGCTGGATGGGGCATTTATTACTAAACATAATTTGGTGGGGTGTAAGGCAGCACAGTGTAAGCCCCCAAGAGTGTAGGGCCTTCCACTTGTCCAGGGCACCATGATTGGGGATGTATTTGACCCTTGGCTATCATGGATGAGTGACTTCTCAGCCACCATGTCTTCAAATTAATCCCCATTTAACTTGGTGAAACCCCACTTCTTTAAGATACGGATCTTCTGGTGACCAGGGAACTTAAACCTGACTCTAGGCAGGGCTTCAATCAAGTGTTTCGTATTCTGCAGCTTGGTGAGATGGACAGGAAAACCTGGCCAATATGAAGCCTGGCCACTGTGCTCTGAGGCTTCCCAAAGGTACCCAGCATACCTATCAAGAGCCTGGGGACAACATTGAGTTAGGGCAACCCATATAAGAACCACTTCCAAGGAGGCTGCTATTTGTAACCACTGCATACCATGACCTGGTTACCTTAATTAGCTGAATTTTTTTCACTCTATGAGCATGTAGAGTATGTGTTGTTAACTGTTAATATCCTAGGCTATTTGCATGTTAAACAAGTGTTTACCACTAAACTATATCCTCAGCCATTTTTGTAGCTTTTTAAAGACAGGGCCTTTTTGGGCGGCATTTGGGAGACAGAGGCAGGTGACTCTCTGTGAGACCAACCTGGTCTACAGAAAAACGCTGTTTTGGAAAAAAAAAAAAAAGACAGGGTCTCACTACACCAGGTTGCCCTTGAGCTCACAGGAGATCTTCCTGTCTCTGTCTAGAGTACTGTGATCAAAGACATGCACCACCACTCCCAGCCTCAGCCCCCCTTAAGTTTTATTTGGGGGCCTGGAGAGATGGCTCAGTGATTAAAAGCGAGGGAACTGGGTTCAAGTCCCAGCACCCACATGGAAGCTCACCACTGTCTGTCACTCCAACTCCAGGAGTTCTGACACCTTCAAACAGATACACATGCAGACAAAACACCAATGCACACAGAAGATAAAGAAATAGGTTAAAGGCTTTCTTTTTTATGTATCGGGTCTTGTCTTGCTTCCTTAAACTTGTGATTCTCCTGCCTAAGCCTCCCTCCCAGACAGCTTGCTTTCTTGCAAGCACCACTACTGAGTTAGACTTCTCTCCTGCACAGTCCTTAGGGGCTTGCTTTATTATAGACCAGCAGTGGGGTCTAGACTGTTGGCCCAAAATAGTAAGCTTGCCTGTTTGGTCCCAGCTTGGATAGATGTTCAGAGGCAAGTGGCTGTTCACCATTGGGGAAATGTCTGCAGATTTTGTCTTTACCGTTCTTTTTAGACCCATTCAGTTTGGTTGGCTGAGCCTAGTGCTATGCATTCTGCTTTTGTTTTCCTGTTTGCTGAAACTTGAAGACTCTGCAGGACAATGAACCCTCACCCTGGGAACCAAAACATAAGCTTCAGTGTTGGCTAAAATTGGACTATTAAATTTGTCATATTATTGTACAGATAATGGATTTCACCTTGTCACTTTTTCTTTTTAGAGACAGGATTTCACTATATAGCCCTGTTTGAACTGGAACTCACTATGTATACCAGGCTGGCTTCAAACTCAGAGAAATCCACCTGTCTGTGCCTCTTGAGTGCTAGGATTAAAAACATGCATTATTACACCCTGCTTTACCATGTCATTCTTATATATGTTAAAAATGTACTTGGTCCTATTCCTCCCATTGCCTGCTCTTGTGTCCCACCCCCAGCAGTGTGGCTTTAAACCTTCTAACGCTTTAGTCTGGGTAGGTGGGGGTGGGACATGGAGAGGTGGATCTGACAGTGTGCTCTCATGTTCGCTCTCCCGTGGCAGTGCTCCTGCAGAAAAGATATGGTGAAGATCTCCATGGATGTGTTTGTGCGGAGGTTCCAGCCCGAGCGCTACAAACTGTGGAAAGCGGGGAAGGACAGCACTGTTATCGACCATACTCTGCCCACACCAGAAGCTGCTGAGTTTCTGAAGGACAGTGGACTACCCCCAAGAGCTGGGAATGAGGAGTGCCCAGAAGAGGACATGGAAGGGGTCGAGCAGGGAGAGGAGGGAGATGTAAAGAGAAGGTACTGGGCAAGCTTGGCCTTGGGGGGGGGATGGCTGCCACAGTTTGATTGTTGTTTGGACTACAGTACTTCCTTGTGGTTCTTGCTAAGGAATGAGGGTGGTGAGCCTGTGCTGTGCCCAGAGTCAGTTTTCCTCAGCATCACTAAGTGTCTTCTGAAAGAAACATGTGGTGGAAGCTAGACACCAGCTCAGGAATACGGAGTGGCATCTGACTTCATCAGGGTCCTGGCCAGAGGATCTGTGCACATAGGGAAAGATGGGAGGGACACTGTGGGGCTGTCTCGTCTAGGTCTAGTCCAGGTGCCCCACCAGGTATCCTGCATGCCCCATCTCGGTCCTCACAGTAGATGTCCAAGGTAGACAGCAGTATCTGCACTTTCAGACGGTGGGATGGGCTTTGCTTTGGGTTGTGTCGGCATGAGTGAATGCATTTGGGGGAATGGGTGTACAGATGGGCTCTTAGGTTTGCCTTCTCCTTGCAGCCTGGCCAAGCACCGAATAGGGACAAAGCGACACCGAGTCTGTCTTGAAATACCACAGGAGGTGAGCCAGAGCGAACTCTTCCCCAAGGAAGAGCTGAATTCTGGACAGTATGAGCTGACGGAGTGCCAGGCCACCCTCGCCCCAGTGAGGCCCACCCACAGCTCCGTGCGGCAAGTCGAGGATGGCCTTCCCTTCCCAGGTGAGCTGACAGTGCTGGTTTGTCCACAGCCCTAACTGACAGCTGTCTGTTGTGGGGTCAATGTTGTATTGAGTTGCAGAGTCAGAAGAAACAAATGTGAGAGGCTGGTTCGTGAGCAGACCTGCACTGGAATGCGAGAAGTATTTTGCTTGGGGACATGCAGGGCAGGCCAGACACGGGAAAAGACTCAGGGAAACACCAAAGACTTCCATGAAGGTCATTTTAGTAATATGAGGTAGGCAGATGTCACAGGAGCCAGCCAGCCCTGCTGATGGAAAGTACTGTCTGGAGCTTTGGGTGCTTCCCTCTAAATCTGATACTGGGTTAGGAAGGGTGAGTGCAGGGTGTGACCAGGCTAAATAAGAGGGGTGAGATGCTGGAGGGTGCTGCCCTTTTACTTAGATACTTCATTTATTTATTTGTTTTGGGTTTTCGAGACATGGTTTCCCTGTGGCTTTGGAGGCTGTCCTGGAACTAGCTCTTGTAGACCAGGCTGTCCTGGAACTCACAGAGATCCGCCTGCCTCTGCCTCCCGAATGCTGGAATAAAGGCGTGCGCCACCAATGCTCGGCTTTTTTTTTTTTTTTTTTTTTTTTTTGTATTTTTAAAAACTTTAGTTATGGGGCCAGGTAATCACAGCACTTAGCCAGGGGCAGGTGGATCTCTCAGAGTTTGAAACGAGTTGGGACTACATAGTGAGAATCTGTCTCCATCCAAAAAGGGGAAAGAAAATTTTACTTATTATTGCGTGTGGTTTGCATGTATGTGCGCTCACACGTGTGTGCATGCGTGCACCACAGAGGAAAGCTGGGTGGGGTGTGTTCTCCTTTCACCTTTATGTGAGTTCCCAGATTGAACCTAGGTTTGCCAGGCTTGTGCTTTTACCTGCTGTGCCATCTCACTGGCTCTTATTTTATTATTTATTCATTTTTATCTTTAATATTTTGAGATAGGCTCTATGTATCCCTGCCTATCTTGGAACTCTCTGTGTAGCCCACAAGATCTGTCTCAGCCTCCTAAGTGCTGGTATTAAAGGTATGTACCACCACACTTGGCTTATTGATTTTTGAAGCAAGGCCTCACTGTGTAGCCCAGCCTAGCTTTGAACTGAAGACCCTCTTGCCTCAGGCTCCTGAGTGTTGGGGTTATAGGCATGTGCCACTGATCTTGGTTTGTTTTTAGTAATTGTCTTCCTCTGTACCCTGACTGGCCTTCAACTCAATGGCTTTCCTCCTGCCTCTCAAATGCTGGGATTCTAGGCAAACACCACCATGCCCAGCCTAAAAGTCTTAACTAAATATAACTATATGTGTTGGAGAAGTACAGTGTCTTCACCAAATCAGGTGCCTGCCACTGTAGCATTTGTTCACTTAGAGGCTGGAGGACCACGTGTTTTTGGAGCAGGTAACTCCCAACAGGCACCAAGTCTAAATTTATTAGGGCTAGGCTTATCTTGGGCTTGAAGAAATCTGCTTACTCTATGCCGAGGTTTGTCTGATGGCTGGAGAGCACTGTGTTACTGTGCGGAGTGTCTGATGGCTGGAGAGCACTGTGTTACTGTGCGGAGTGTCTGGTGGCTGGAGAGCACTGTGGACTTGCGCTTTGTAGAGTTTCTTTTGACTCTGGCAGCTGGACTGCTGCTGAGCACACACCTGTGAGGAACAGCAGCAGCCACTTGCTCATAACCCTGTCATGTTGAGTTGTGATAGCTTATGCCCAGGACTTGGATTGAAGCCCCTAAGAAGAAATGGTAAGATCCTCAGCTAGCACGGAGAGAAAGCAGTTGGGGGCTCTAGCGGTGAGCACTGAGTCTTGATCACACAGTGGCCTGGTTGGTTGTCAGTCTTTGCCATCCTGCTTCCAACAAGGAAGCTGGCTCTGTCTGATATGATATGCACCTGTGTTTCAGATTACTCTGACTCCACTGAAGTCAAATTTGAAGAGCTGAAGAATGTCAAACTAGAAGAGGAGGATGAGGAGGATGAGCCCGAAGCAGCCGCCTTGGACCTTTCTGTGAATCCTGCATCCGTAGGAGGACGCATTGTCTTCTCAGGTTCCAACAAGAAGTCCTCTTCCAGCCTGGGCTCCAGTTCATCCCAGGATTCAGTTTCTTCCGATTCTGAAACCAGCGAGTCTGTCTCTTGTCAAGGCCAGGAGAAAACAGGAGTTCTCACCGTGCACAGCTATGCCAGAGGGGATGGCAGGGCTGCCACAGGAGAGCCGAGTGTGAAGAAGAAGCGTAGTGCCCCCCCGGAGCATCAGCGAGCAGGAGCTGGCAGAGGTACAGGCTCTGCAGTGCTGTGGGAGGCCACTGCCCCGAGAGGCAGCCTGTGCCCGAGGGGGCCTGTGAGGGGGAAGGTGCTGCAGGTGTGGGGGAGGGCAGGGGAGAGGCCCCCCTCTGTCTCACCTTACATCTACTGCCTGCAGTGGTTGTGTCAGAATGCCAGGTGACAGTCCCTGTCTTCCTCTTTCTCTGTGTGTGACTGTTGATCCAGAGGACCGCATCTCAGCAGCAGCAACAGGGACAGAGCAGTGCAAATCCTAAGCTTGGTTGGATGTGCTGGGAGCCCTTCCTCTGACTACTTGCCTAGAGCAGAAAGATTTGGATGGATGGCAGTGGTTGCAGCCCAGGTGTTTGGGGTTCGAGATGAGGTGGCATCTTAGTCACTTTTATTGCTGTGAAGAGACACCGTGACCAAGGCAACTCTTACAAGTACTTACAAAAAAAGCATTTGAGACTTATAGTTTCAGAGATTTGGTCCTTCATCATGCCAGGAAGCATGGCAATGGGTGTGATGGCGTGGACTTCATCCTGATCTGCAGGCAGAAAGGGAGACAACTGGTCTTGGCCTGGGCTTTTGAAACCTGAAAGCCCACTCCCAGTGACACACTTCCTCCAGGCCACACCCCTAATCCTTTCAAACAGTTCCACTGCCTGGTGACAAAGCATTCAAATATATGCTCCTATTGGGGGCTTTTTCATCCAAACCGTCACAGTGGCCTTTCTCACCCTGATATTCAGGGGAAATTTCACTGCTATATGGAATCCTAGCTTGTCGTTGATAGATACTCCTTTTGGAGACCAGGACAGATTCCTAAAACTCTACATGGAAATGTTTGGGTCTCTTCCTAGTACCCACTGTTTCACCAGAGGCTTTTTTTTTCTTTCTTCCTTTTGTGTACTGTGGCTCCTGGCAGGTCTGCCACGCTGAGAGGATTCCTATTGGCTACAACGGATTCATCTCTCCCAGTAACCTCTTTTCCCTAGCCTCATAGCTTGCATGGTTGATTACAGTAAGGGTAAAGGGTGGCGAGCTGGGATGATGGTGCACACTTGTAGTCCCAGCTTTGAGAGGTGGAGGTAGGAGCAGTAGCTCATGGTTGTCCTTGGCTACATGATGCATTTGAGGCCAGCTTGGGGCTCAATAGGCCTTGTCTTAGAAAAACAATAAGAAGAGGCTAGTGAGATTGGTTAATAGGCAAAGATGCCTGCCACAAAGATCGAAAGTCTGTTTCTGAGCCCACACAGAAGGATAGGGCCAACTGCTGATGTTTCTGACCTCTGTCCGCATGTGTGCTGTGGTAAATGAACATCCGCCTGCCCGCCTGAGGGGCTACATTCCTTTCCCTGTGCTTGCATAATAGAGTGAGAGCTCACCATGTAGCCCTAGCCGGCCTTGAACTCACAGACCACCTGGCTTTCTGTTCTACCTTCATATTAAGTAAGTTGTTTGGTTGGATATCTTTGAAAAATAGGAATGCTTGTGAGTTTGCTGTCATCCTTCCATGTGGGCCATGTTGATCTTCCATATGGTCCAGGTTTCCCTAGTTTTGCCTTTTGCTTCTATTTAAGCTTTCTTTGCACCTTATCCTTTTAAAAATATTATTTATTTTAAATTGTGTGTATTTGTGGGTTTGTGCAAGTGACGGCAGGTGCCTCGAGAGGCCAGAGGTGTTGAGTTGCCCTGGAGCTGCACACAGGTGAGTGAGTAGTCCACATGGTGCTAGGAGCTGAATTTAGTCCACTCTAACACAGCAGCTGTGCTCTTAGCTGCAGAGTCATATCTCCAGCGCCTTGTTCTTTTCTTTTTCTTTTTGATAGGATCTTGTCATGCACATTTTTTCAAGATTTGAGGGGAGGGTTGCATGTGTATGTATGAATGTGATGAGTGGGGGCCTGTATACTGTGATACTTGTGTAGGGGTCAGAGGACAACTTTCAGGAATCAGGTCTCCTTCTACCCTGTTAGGGTGGGTTCTCTCTCTCTCTCTCTTTTTCTCTCAGTAAAAGCAGTGAAGTTTAATTAGTTAAAACCAAGTTTCAGGAGCCAAGTACTGAACATCTGGGAGAAGTACACCACACGCTCCCTGTACATATGCCATTGTGCCTTCAAGCAGGGTGGGTTCTCTTGCTGCTGCTCTTCATGCTACATGGCCTGAGAACTTCTGGGTAGGTCTGTTGATGCCTCCCGTCTTGCCTTAGGAGTGTTGTGGTTACAAATACCTGCCACCACATCGGGTCCCAATGGGTTGTAGGATGGAACTCAAGTCATCAGGTTTTTGTGGCAAGTATTTTTTACCTGACGGGTCATCTCTGGCCCTGGATCTTGCTATTTGATACAGCTCAGTCTGACCTTGAACTTCTCTACTCCCTGACTCCTGCTTCTGCTGCTTATGTATCACCCCTTCTTTTTAAAACTCAGACAGACATCATTAAGGTTCTCACTAAGTTGCATAAGCTGACCTGGAACTCACTATGTAGTCTTTTTCTTGAGATTCTCTAGCCCTGGCTTGGAATTATAGTTTTCACCATCTCCTGTGTATCTTATCTTCTGTTTGTTTTTTTTTAAGGAACGCTCTGCTTTTTATTAATATTTGTTTGGGTTGTGAGCCGAGCTACACAGAGAAATCCGTCTCACAAAACTAAAATTGTTTTTTCAGTTAGTTATTCATTTTGTGGGTAACTTTGTGTACATTTGGGAGCACGTGAGCCGTGGCGCACAAGTGGAGGTGAGAAAACTTTTGGGAGTCGGTTCTCTTCTCTTCTCCCATTGTATGGATCCCATGGATCAAACTCACAGGTTGTTGGGCATGGTGGGTAGCACCCCTGCCCTCTGAGTCATTTCACAGCCCTCCCTCATCTTGTCTTTCAGTGCCCAGATAATTTTCTCCACTTCCTCTAAGTGTCGTGACTCAGTTTCGGTATACTTCGTGCGTGCATCTCATAGTGATTGCAGGCTAATGAATTAATAACCACCATGCTTCCTTCTGGCTGCCTTGGCCAGTGCTCTCTATACCCCCTAATGCAGTACCCACAAGAGAACGCTTTTCACCTAGGGAACTTTCTTAACCCCTGCAGCTGCCACCTTGTATTTCCTCACAAGTCCTCAGGTGCCAACCCACCCTGCTGTGACACAGCAGTTCACCTCGTCTGTCCTCTGCTTGCAGAATTCTGACTTCTGGCTGGTCACTGTCCAAAGAGTAGCTAGCAAATAGCAAAGATGTAATAGATACTAAATATTTTATGAACATCATTCAGGTATTACTGTAAATTAATTCTACTGGAGTTTTTTGGTGTGTTTTTCATGTTTATTTTTGGAGAGCCTGCAGCAAGCCAATAAATACTAGTCATCTCCTTTTTTTCCTGTATTTGATATCAATTAAGTGATGGATTAAAAAAATGGGTTAGATGTCATCTTGTTGCTAGCTAATATGATTGAACAAAATGACTTTTTTAACCTGTGGGCAAATGGTCCTGCTCTTCTTTCACTTTCAAATAGATGGATGAACTAGGGACAGGCAGTCCTGGATGTCCACAGGCTGTATTGCCTCACCACATGGTGAGGTTGCAGACTAGCGTGTACTGCAGAAGGCAGATTGCAACTCATTGATGCATACTCTGCATCCATGACGTGGACAGCGGCCAAGATGCCTTTGCCATCGTGATCCACAGGGTAGGGAGGCTTCTCCTTAGATGCCTCCCTCTCAGGCCTGCTGAAAGCCTGCTGCGTGCTTTCAGCTTGTCTCTTTTCTTTGTGGACTCTCACAATAATTCCTTTCTCTGCGCTGGCAGTGTGTGCTGGCAGCTTTGAGCCGCTTAAAGTTCTCCAAAAGGTGTTGTCCTACTCACCTGCTTGCCTAACCCTTGTAGTCAGTAGGGCCCATGTTCTGTGGGCCAGCACTGCCTTCCAGGACCTCCGGAGCTCCTTGAGAATTGAGTGTGGACAGAGAGTTGCATGTGGTTTCAGCACTGGGTGACACTGAGTGACCAACTCCCATTGGAAGAGCTGGCAGCCTAGCTGGGCTGAAGGAGTTCAGGATGTCAAGAAGGGGGAAGTTTGGAGGAATATAACAGGTGGTAGACAGAACAAGATTGGAGCAAGAATCTGGGAGAGGAGGGTCATCTCTTCTTCATGTACTGATAGCCACACTAACGTCAGAGCATCATGGGGTCTGCTCTGCATGCTCTGCCTGGAGACTGGAAATCTGCAATCTGCTTGGAAGTGCACAAAGATGGAGCGTGAGTGCTGTTGTGAGCATGCATGAGGGTGCTGCCGTGCAGGTCGGACCTCAAGTTCCTGCTGGACCTGCTCCATCCGCTTTTACTGCTTTAAAACCAGGTGCCATATCACTTCTCTCTTCCCTCCACCCCCTCCTCATCCTCTCCCTTCTCCCTCACCCCCCAGACAGGGTTTCTCTGTGTAGCCCTGGCTGTCCTGGAACTTGATCTGTAGGTAGACCAGGCTGGCCTTGAAACTCACAGAGATTTGCCTGCCTCTGCCTCCCAAGTGCTGGGATTAAAGGAGTGCACCACCAACGCCCGTCCTCATATCACTTCTTTCTTTAATATTTTTATTTTCTTTTTGGTCTCACTGTGTATCACTGGCTAGCCTGGAACTCACTGTGTAGACCAGGCTGTCATTGAATACACAAAGATCCACCTGCTTCTGCCTCCCTAGTGCTGAGATTAAAGAACTGTGCCACTACATCCAGCTTATATTTATTTATTTTACACCAAGAAAGGAGGAAACACAATTTAAAGAAGAAAAGCCCTCGATGGTGGCGCTCACCTTTAATCCCAGCACTTAGGAGGTAGAGACAGGTAGATCTCAAGTGTGTTCCAGGCAGCCAGGGCTACATAGAGAAACCTTGTCTCCAAAAAGCCAACCAAAAGAAAAAAAAAGCCCCTTGGGAAGCTGCTCCTTTGGTTTGAGAGATAGTAAGAATAGAGCTGGACTGTGGTGACAGGGTCGGGGCAGGAGATGCACCTGAGTTTCTGGAACATAGGAACCCAGGACTGGGAGACAAGTTGGCCTGCCATGTAGTACAGCTCAGGCACCTCAGACTTTGGCTTGATTTCCTGGAGAGGCAAGGGTGTTGTTATCTGTGAAAAATAGAGATTCAGAGAAAACTGGAGGGTTTTTAGTGTTTGGTGTATAGTGTTTTAGTGTTTAATGTTTGGGAATGTTTGTGAGGTGTGCTGAAGATGTAGAGTATATTTGGCCTGCAGGCATGTAGGGAGTCACTAGGAGATTGAAGGTCAGGCTTGTTTTAGTGAGAAGCCAGCATCACGTCTGATGAGGTTGGCAAGGAGGCTCAACAGCTTTGCCCATCCCTGAAGAACTGAAAGCACTGTCTGTGTATTTGGGAATATCGGGGTTCCTGAGAGCACCGCTCTCCTGGTGTTCTCAAGTTACATAACTGGGCCACTTGCTGACACCCACATCCAGGCTCTATCCAGAGTTATCTGGTAAGCTAGTTTTGGTGACAGCATCCTGCTGAAGCACCAGAGCAGTAGGGTCCCCACAGCTCCAGGAGCCATGGGGGTATGTCTGCTGCAGAAGTGCTTGCTCAGACAAGGCTGGCAATGGTGGCAGCTTCTGTGCAGAACAGGCCTCTTTGGCAACACTGTCTACAACTCTGTGTTGCGTGTTAGAAGAGGACACAGAAATTTCTGGAACCTGGGGCCCAGGTTTATTGCCGGCAGGGGTCTGGAAAATTCTGCACAAGGTTCCTGGCCCCTTTTTGACTGTTGCTGTTGCTGTGTGTGCCTTAAGGTGATTATGTTGGTCCTATCCAGATGATCTGGAATAATTCCCCTGCTTTACAGTCACCTGATTATCAGTCTTAATTCTCCTTTGTCATATTAACATGCTTACAGGGTTAGGGTTGTGGACATTCTGCTTGTCACTTTTTTTTTTTTTTGAGGCGGGGTTTCTCTGTGTAGCCCTGGCTGTCATGGAACTTGCTGGCCTTGAACCTGGAGATTTGCCTGCCTCTGCCTCCCTGCTGAGATTAATGGTGTTCACTGCCACTGCATGGCCGCCATATGTCTTACTATCTCCATTTTAGCAGCTGCTTTTCTCCCTTGCTCCAGACCATGCTTAGGTCCCCATCCTAGAGGCCGCTCCCTTGCTTTCGTTGTTCCTCTCCAAGATGGGCTGAGGCATGAGTCCTTCCTGTTCTTACTGTCTGCTGGGATGAGCAGACAGCAGGTCTAGACATCCCGGTGGCCGTGTGTTCTGGGCTCCCCTCTGCTCTGTGAGCCTTCTGAAGTCTGGGACTCCATACTTACTGTTTGCGGGTCGCTCCTGTGAGCCTTCCCAGCTCTCTGCAGCTGCATGGCCCTCGTGCGCCGCCTCCTTGTCTACTGCCGAAGTCTGCTCCTCGGTCAGCTGACCTCCTGCCAGGGTCCCATCCACTCCCATTGTAGTTCTGTGGTTTGGTTTTCACTTGAGATGGGAGTGTCACAGCATTGCCCAGCTGACTTGTGGCTTTAAACGATCCTTCTGCCTCAGTCTCCCAAGTGGGATGACAAGTACATGCCACAAAACATAGCCATAACCTGAATATGAACCTATGCTGAGGAGTCTCGGGTGCACGGTTCCTGCTCTGACTTCTTTTCCAACATTTCTTACCGCCACACTTGGATTCACAAGCATTGTGCCATGCTGCTTGTTTAACTGATTCTGTTGTCACTGACTTTATCCCAGTGAGCCGTCTTAGCTCCTCTACCCGTTCTAACCCAGTCTAGATTCTTCACTGCTCTCATTGCATTTCCCCTAGTATCTGCCACAGGCCAGGTTTAAGCCTGTCACTGAGGTGTGCTCAAAGTAGGAAGTACCAGAATATTATAAATTTTATGATTAGTTATACATTTAATTTTTAATGATTTTTGCCTTTATTTTATCCCTTTATAGGCAATTTAAAATGTGCAGAATTAGGTCAGCCACAGGGAAATAGTTGTTTTTAGGAAATGAGGCTAGAATCTCTCTAAAAAAGTGAAATCTGGCCGGGCATTGGTAGTACACGCATTTAATCCCAGCACTTGGGAAGCAGAGGCAAGTGGATCTATGAGTTCAAGACCAGCCTGGTCTATAGAGCGAGTTCCAGGACAGCCTCCAAAACAATACAGAGAAACCCTGTCTCGAAAAACCCAAAAAGAAAAAAAGTAAAATCTGGTGCTGGAGGGATGGCTCAGTGGTTAAGATCACTGGCTGCTCTTGCAGAGGACCAGTTCAATTCCTAGCAACCACATGGTGGCTCCCAATCATCTGTAATTTCAGTTCCAGAGGATCTGATGCTCTCTTCTGATCTCTGGGCACATGGTACACAGTCATAAAGGCAGCAGACATTCATATACATAAAACAAAATAAATATCAAAAAATAGTGAAATCCTACTCACTTGAAAATTGTGAATCATGAGACGGGGATGCGGCTCTGTTGGCAGTGTGTCCAGAATTCTATCCCTAGCTCTGCTTAAACATGTACAGTGGTGTGTACTGTGTAACCCCAACATTTAGGAGGTGAAGGTAAGAAGAACAGGAATTCAACGTTATCCTCAGCCTGGGATACATAAGGGCTTCGTCTCAAACTAAACAGAACAAACAAAAGCCCCAAAAGAAGCATGCGAATCCAAGAGAAAGCTGCTTGGGTAGAAGGGAAATGGTACCCAGAGCCCCTCCTGCTCACCGCAGTGGTGGCTATGGAGAGGCCTTCCTCACACACGTGGTTTTATGATGCAGAGGGTTAAGTCTGGCTCTGTCCGTGCCCTTTGTACACTAGAAACCCACTACTTTGGGCACACTGTAGTTGGGATCTGTTTGGAAGATTGATTGTGTGTCAGAGGTAATGCCTTCTAAACACCCTCACTCTTCTCCTCATTCCTGTGTATGCCATGTACCTTTCACGCAGGGAGACTAGATCCTGTCCTGTCAGCCCATTGCTCTACACCTCCATTCCTAAGAGGTCTCTGCACATAGAAAGGGTCCAGTCAATGTTTGTTGGACACTAACCTGTTGGTAAACTTGTGTTTGCAGAAACAGGTGTTACTCTGTCTGAATGTGGCCTGTAAAGAATTGTTTTCTCTTGAGAGCTCAAGTGGTGTTCTCAGGCTCGGAATATGCTCTGTATTCTACGGCCCAGGACACCTCACCTCTAAAGTGGCCCTGTAGTGCCACCACTTTTTTGTAGATCGGAAGCATTAGTTTAGTTAGTGTTGGAAAGTGGCCGACTTCTAGGCCTCATTTCCTCGTTTAATGGTTTCGCCAAGCCCGTGTCTCGTAATGTCAGTACAACCAATTTTGAAGTATGTTGATTAAAAAGGAACTTACGGAGTATTCGTCAGTCCTGTACTTCTTAGACCTAATTATGTTTGCTCGGGGATGGTGTGCGGTGTGAAATCAACCTTCCCTTAGCACCTTCGTCCAGAGGGCAGACTCTGTTTCCTCCTTGGAGCAGAGGAAACTTTCCTCTCGGGTGTTGGCAGTGGCCACAAGACTGCAGGTCTCAAGGGTGGAAGGTGCAGCTTGAGCTGGGCTGTTGTCCTTGCAGTGGCTTCGGTGCCCTCATCCTTTGTCTGGTAGGTTCTCGTATGGATGGCCCTGCGCCCTGCACATGCAGTGTAACAGGTGCTGACCTCCCAGGGAAAGGGGCGCTGTGTTTCATGGCAGCGACCTTAAGGTGGGAGGGTTCCTGGCTTGTCCTCTTGTTCAGGCATCTTCTGGGAAGGCCAGGAAGCAAGACATAAGCAGATTTTTGCTCTTAAATACTAAAATACACTAGTATAGTTTGCTTGGTACTGTGGCATATGCTTTTCTAAGATATGTTTTTTTTAATGGCTTTAAATTTTCATTTTTTTCATTTTACACGTGTGAGTGTTTGGCCTCCATATATGTCTGTGCACCACGTGTGTACAGTGCCTCAGAGTACAGAAGAGATACTGAGTTCCCTGGAACTGGAGCTTAAGATGATTGTGAGCTGCCGTGTAGGTGTCAGGAATAGAACCCAGGTCCTTTGGAAGAGCAGCTAGTGTTCTTAACTATTGAGCCATCTCTCCAACCCCAAGACAGTGTGTGTGTGTGTGTGTGTGTGTGTGTGTGTTCGACTTTACATTTTCTTGTTTCCAATGTCCCTCTTCCCCTCCGCTCCCGTTTCCCTCCAGTTCTCTTGAATGCCCTGCTTCCCTCCCTCTCATTTTTGAGATGATGTACTACGTATGTAGCCCATGCTGCCTTTTATTCTTTGTCCTAACACTTCAGCCTCCCGAGTGGTAAGACTTACAGGTGTTTCCAGGTGTGTGTCATCATAACTCCCTCCGGTTTCATCACTGAGCTGATTTCCCTGGTTTGCTCAGGTTGCCGATGAGTACATGCTTTCCCTGGAGGAGAATAAGAAGACCAAGGGTCGCCGCCAGCCCTTAAGCAAGCTCCCGCGCCATCACCCGCTCGTGCTGCAGGAGTGCGGCAGTGATGACGGTAAGTCTTAATCTCTCCCTCTCACGAGAAGGAAAGCAGTTCACTACGGTGAGGCTTGTTCTCACAGGGCAACAGAGGTCAGGGGTGAGCCAGGGCCCGAGGCTTTAGCTCTTCAGGCAGAGGACAGCACTGTCTTTTGTGTCTGGCTTGTGAATGAGTTTTCTTTACTTATTCGTTCGAGATTGGTGGACTGTGTTACATTACAGGGTAATTGTATGTAGGTTCTTTCCTTTCTTCAACTAGAATGTATAAGGCTGATTTTTTTTCCGGGATAGTTCATTCTGTCAGTGATGCCAAGCCCTGTGCTGGATATGTGCATACAAAGCTGGCTAAGATATGCCCGTGCCCTCACAATGCTTGGAGAGTAGTGAGACAGACTGGTAAAGAGATTGAAGAAAAGACTCACATCTAGGCTGAGGGGACAGAATGAGTAAACAGGAGGAATGGGAGCACCAGTGCAGAGGAACTGTCATCGGGGCAGCCTGGCTCATCAAGTTCAAGGGCACGGCTACAGATTGAAACGAGCTGGAGGAGCAAAGTGGCAGTGAGGCTGGGTGTTCAGCCCTACTCATGAGCCTACATGAGCGTTTTCTCACGGGCAGCTTAGAGCCATGGAAGTGTGTTTGAAGCAGGGTAGCAACACAGTCAAGTTGGTATTAGGAGGGCTGCTCCTAGACCAGCTAGGCTAGGATGCTGGTGACAGGGATTGGAGAAGTGGAAGTGTCGCAGAGAGTCAGCTGGAGTGGGAAGAGTCTGGAGAGCTGTGAGGGTGGTCCCCAGGGAGAACGATGAGTTGATGGCCTCCTTGGTGTCTTAAGGCTTCTAGATGACTTAGGAAACCCGGTTCATGTGGATAGAGGATGTTGACATGGGAAGATACAGATGTGGTTTTGTTTGTTTGTTTGTTTTGTTTTTTAGATGTGTTTTGTAGGGTTATTTTTAAATATAGGGGTCTCCTTGAGAAGGCAGAGAAGGGCGAGCAGAGGCTGGGGATGACTGGGCAGAGGAGCCTGGGAAGGAGACAGAAAAGGGAACTAAAGACTTACACAAGGAGAAATGGGAAGTGTGGCTCTGAAGCTCATCTTGACAACAGCAGGGTGTGGTCACCTCGGCTGCCTGGAGCAGAAAGAGGATGCTGGCAGGCCTGGGCGGGTACTGGCATCTGCACTCTTGTGGAAGCAGAGCTGCCTGAGCAGTGATGCTCTCTCTGGTGCTGGGTACTCTGTTCCCTCTCCCCTCCTCCATGTGCTTCAGTTTTCTTTCTAGAATGTATGAGCAGCCTATGCATGGGGACAGCCTAGAGGTCCTGGGGTCAGAAGACCCTGAATGGGTCCCAGCAGTGCCTCTGAGCTGCTGAGAGCTGCTGCCTGTTGCATGATTGCTTCCTTCAGAGCTTTAAAATAACACAGATTGGGGGAGGGGGACGCTTGCCCTTAATCTCAGCACTGGGGAGGCCGGGGTGGGCAGATCTCTGTGAGGCCAGCCTGGGCTATGCAGAGAAACCCTGTCTCCAGAAAGAAACAAAAAGATGTATATTGTAAAAAACTGGAAAAACAGTTTTCAAGAGGCAAAAGAAAAATTAGCCTTAGGCCTGTTTTCCAAAGAGGAGCACATTTAATACTGGATACATACACTTTGAGGTGTCTGAGTGTGTCTTTTTGAAACAATGTAACTGATATACTCTCCCTCAACTTTTTTGTTTTTCTTCTTCGAGACTGGGTTTTTCTGTATTGTTTTGGAGGCTGTCCTGGAACTGACTGTAGACCAGGCTTGCCTGGAACTCATGGAGATCCGCCTGCCTCTGCCTCCTGGACTAAAGGCATGAGCCACCAATGCCTGGCCCTTTTTTTTTTTGTGTGTGTGTGTGTGTGATGAGCAGTGTTCAGTTATGACAAAGTTAAGGATGGGAACTCTTGTGTGGTCCTCGAGTGTTAATTTTTAGTTAATTTTTATCAGAACATTTGCTGTGAGCTTGTCTGCTTTCGTTCTGCTAGTCCATTATTGAGGCAGGGTGTAATATAGTCCAGTCTGGCTTTGAGCTCCTGAACCTCTTGTCTCCCACTTTTCAGGTGCTGGGGTTATAGGTATTTACCACTACATGAGGCTCAAGCAATGTAGGCTGGGCTTTTCTGTCCCGCCAAACAGCTCTGACCTGCCTGCTGGTCAACGCCTTAGTAACACCACACAAGACACTTGATGTTAATTACAAGTGTTAATTACAAATAACTTAGGCTTGCTACTAAGTAACTCTTAAAACTTAAATTAACTTACACTTCTTACCAAAACTACCACGTGGCATACCTTTTTTTCAGCATGGCTGTTCATCTCGTTCTTTCCAAGCTTCCTGACTCCGCCCTCTTTCTTCCCTCGGCTCTGTAAGTCCCGCCTAACCTCTTCCTGTCCAGCTATTGGCCAGTCAGCTTCTTTATTAACCAATCACAGTGACATATATTCACGCAGTGTACGGAAATATTCCACAAAGCAGCTTCAGTTTCACATGGACACTTGCTGTATTCCAGAAAGTACGATGAGTTTATCTGGTCATGTCACTGTTTTCCTTTTTGTTGTTTTTTTGTGTAGCCTTGGCTGTCCTGGAACTAGCTCTGTAGACCAGGCTAGCCTCAAATTCAAATTCTTCTTGCCTCTGCCTCCCCAGCCACCATGTCCAACAGTTTCATTTAAAACAAAATCAAACCTTTCTAGAAACTACTACAGAACCTCATACACGTTCAACCAGCCCCCTGCCACTGTCCTGTATCTGGCCCTCTTTTTACTTAAATTACTACTTACGTGGATGAGTATTTTCTTGCGTATGTTTGTACACTTCTTTGAGTGCCCCACAGAAGAGGGTATTGGATCTTCTGGCACTGGAGTTGTAGGAGGTTTTGAGCAGCCACATGGAGGCTGACAGTTGAACCTAGGTCCTCTGGAATTGCAGTCAGTCCTCTTAACGGATAAGCCATCCCTCTAGTTCCCTCTTTTCACTTTCTATTTTGAGACAAAGTCTCACTACCTTTTCTAGGCTGACCTGGAACTTTTGGTCCTCTTGCCTCAGCACGCAGAGTAATTGGGATTACAGGCCTGCCTACCAGGCCCAGCCAGATCACTTAACATTAGTACAACACTAGGCATTAAGGATTGTCCCTAAGTAAACACACTGCTGTTAATTGAGGGCCTTAGTCTAGATTTGCCTTTCTTCCCTGGCTTGACCTAAGAATGTATTCAGTAGGGTTTTCCCTCTTGAAATTAATATAAACCAAACAAAGGCTATGCATTATACTTAGAATTCTTGGTCTTGTTAGTCTAATATATCTTTATTCCACCTTTTTTTTCTCTTTATTTAGATGTAGGCTTGGCTATGTAGACAAACTGTTTGAGTTCGTGGTTCTTCTGCCTCAGCCTCACAAGTGCTGGAATTACAAGCTTATACCAATATGCTTTGCTTCTCTCCACTTTTTTATTTTTGGTTTTTCGAGACTGGTTTCTCTGTATTGTTTTGGAGGCTGTCCTGGAACTCTTAGAGATCTGCCTGCCTCTGCCTCCCAAGTGCTGGGATTAAATGCATGTGCCACCAACGCCCGGTTCTCTCTCTCTCTCTCTCTCTCTCTCTCTCTCTCTCTCTCTCTCTCTCTCTCTCTCTCTCTCTCTCTCTCGCCTTTTTACAAAAGCATTTTTATTTGAAGTACAGCATTTTTAGTGAAATGCACATGTCTTGACTATGAGGCTCAATGAAACTTTACATATGTAAACTGTTACGATTTTGATTCCTGTAATTTTCACTTAACACAGTGAACGTTTCCCCTTGGCATTCCGTATTCACATATGCAATGATTTGGGCACTTTTGGCTTTGTAAGTGGAACAGATGTCCGCCTGTGAAGACTGGGGCTGTGAGCATGTCTGTTTCTGTCTCTTCTGTACTATCTTGGTCCCTTATGTTTGGGTCTGGCACTCTGGCTCCATCTGAACCATGGGGCTCTCTTAGAGGCTAATTTGACCTCCTTCCGCTGCCGTGGCCCTTCACTGGGGCTGTACACAGTGGCAGCTGCCAGTTCCCTTTAGAGTAAACGTGACTGAACATGGAGGAAGCACTGGTTTATCTGCATTGTTCTAGAGTTGCCTGGAGTGAGCAGATGGGCACCTGGTGCAGGTGTGCCCACCACTGCTTTCTCTGGGCTGCTTTGCAGAGATCTCAGGGCCTCTGAGGAAAGGAGTGCTTTTGCCTTTGCTCAGTATCACTGCATTGGATTCCAAGAACACACACAGTCCCGCATGCAGTGGCTTTGTGAAGTAGCTGATAGGTACCCTGTCACAGCCAACCTCCTGTCAGACACAGCGACGGGCTTCTCCTCTCACGTCAAGCAGCCGGCCTTACAGGCTTGAGCCGCCATGCCTGCTTATTGTAGCAGTCTGTTCTGCTGTTTGCTCCTGCTTCCACCAAAGCCGGTCCCTCCTCCCAGCCTTTCCCCAGCTCCTTGACTTGGTGTGTCCCAGGAGCTAGTGGGCCTTGCACCTTATTGCTCTGTGTGAAGACTTCCATTGTTTCCATTCTGTAGTGAGCCTCACTCTTCTGGGAAGATGAGCCCAGAGAGGGATTTTTCTTGCATTGTGGTTAAGGGTGCCTGAGTTGTGGGACCCGTTGTCCAGCACACTGAAGAGAGATGAGGAGTCTTTGGTTCAGGGTTCTGAGGAGGGCCAGCAAGGTACAGGTTCAGGCTTCATAGTACCTGATGGTCTCTGGGGTCATTTCTCTCCCTCACCCCCATTCTTTGAAAATGCAATAGCAATTTTTATTTGCTGACTGGTTGGGTTGTGCCTGCAGGCTCTCCACTCACAAGTTCCTGGTTGAAAGGTGACATGAACATTTTATTTTATGGTCAGGAAGATTCATCCTCTGAGATCTTGGGGAGTCCTTCCCCAGTTGGGGAGACCCCCTACCCCTGGACTTTCCAGCTCACTCTGGAAAGTCCTGACCAAGGCCGTGATGTAACATCTCTCACGCTTTAGCAGTTCTGTTTTCTCTCCGTTTCTCCAGCACAGCTGAAGGGAAAGCCCTAGGGGGAAAGGACTTAAACACGCTGGCATTTGGGAGGCAGCAAATGGCACGGTTTCTGGTAGGATGGCACTTTATTCTGCTGCCCTCAGAGAGGGCAGAGGGTTGAATGTGGCCGCTGTTACAGGGAACAGAGTGGGCTGAGTGCCTGAAACATGAGGAAGAATAGAGAGTCAGTCTGATCAGAAAAGGCAGCACAAACAGCTACCCCTACTCCCTCACCCCTGCCCACATCCCAGTTATCCAGGCCCCAAAGGAGTCTTTTGCTAAGTGTTCTGCCCTTGCCTTTTGTCACCTCTGAAACCTTGAGTTTAGTTCTGACTTGGGACCAGGAGCCCTGGCTGAGCCCCTCCACTCTCTAGGTAGACCTCCTGTGTGCAAGGCTGCTGTAACTCATGTTTCTTTTTCTTCCTTTAGAGACTTCTGAACAACTGACCCCTGAGGAAGAGACAGAGGAGACAGAGGCTTGGGCCAAGCCTCTGAGCCAGCTGTGGCAGAACCGACCCCCGAACTTTGAGGCCGAAAAGGAGTTCAATGAGATCATGGCCCAACAGGCCCCTCACTGTGCTGTCTGTATGATCTTCCAGACCTATAATCAGGTAAGCCTGCTCTGCTGCCACTGGGCATCCAGGGCCAGCAAGCAGAGGGAGTTGGGTTTGGTTGTGGGTGCAAGGCTTGTGTCCGCTTGTGTTTAGGGACCCTTTTCCTCTAGCATCCTCACCCTACCAGTGCTTTGTGAGGGTCTGCCAGGCATGTGACCCAGCCGTGCGAGCTTACCCTTCAGAAGGCTTTCATGTGACGACCCTTGCACGTGACAGACCTCGATGCTTGCGGAGCCTAACGTTTATCCTCTTAGTCTGGGGCTCTTTCTGCCTGATGCTTTGTGGTCCTTGTCAGCTGGGGTCCAAGACTACAGTTTCTTTTCCATTGAAAGCCACCTGTGAGCCAGGTCCTCTCATCGTCTTCTTTCCTTGCTCACTGTCATAGTGAGTGTTGCGTGGCCAGGAGGTAGCTGGGTGGCGAGGGATGGGAGAGGCAGAAGATGTGACACAGTGAAGGCTGGGGCACTGATGACCTCACCATCATGGATCACTTTGGGTCAAGCTCTAGAAGGTCAGGCAGGAATTCACAGCAGCAGGTGCCAGGTAAATAAATCAGGCTTGGGGGTCCTACCCAGGGTAAGCAGCTAAAGTGGTACGGCTGCCCTGAGCTCGGCAGGGCCCCAGGTTCATGCTTGCAGAAGGGTGGAGCCTAGACCCACATACTGGATAAACAACCCACTACTTTGTATTGACAGAAAGCATCAGCAAAGAACTATTTGTGCCTTTGTTTGTGAGGGACATGACTGGCCTGATTGTTAAGTGTCAGCAGATCTACAAGCTGGGGGCCAGAGTTTCTTGAATGGCATAGGCTCAGAGGGTGACATGTTTCCAGGCTCTGTCCTTGGAATGGGGATAATGGTGCCATCCAGCGGCAGGGCCAGATGATATTTGCAGTGAGTATAGTTTGCCAAGGGCAGTGTGTGACATAATGTTCTTCCTAGAGAGGCCCCAAGCCTGGAATCACAGGTGGGGATCTAGCCATGTGACAGTACTGCAGTTCAGGTGACCTGCTGACATGGCCCTCAGAGGCAATCAGTGCTGGCCCATTAAGGAGCATGTGCTCTGGGTGCTGTGTCCTAGTGGGGCCACCGTGTCTAGCACCTGGGGACAGGCAGTGCCTCGCTGCTAATGTCTTGGTGCATTTTATTACCACTTGGTTTGGGAAGACTGAAATCCCAGGTGCCTCTTACTTGCTCCCTCATCTCAGTTGTCCCCCAGGGGCCTTTGTTTGATGCTGCTGTGAGAAATTGAATTTGAGTCATTAGAGGTAACTTCAATTAGTAGCTTCAGGATAATGGCTGTGCACCCGGGAGCTATAGCTGTAGTCACAGCAGTAAGAGGCCCAGCTTTCTGCTGATGGAGCAGGTGGATGGCCGGGGAGCACAGGCGTGTGCTCACTATGGGGCACACTCCCTGCCTTTCACTTAGGTGGAATTTGGAAGCTTTAATCAGAACTGTGGGAAAGCTTCGGAACCAGCTACTCAGACTCAGAGGACCAAGCCATTGATCCCAGAAATGTGCTTTACCACGACTGGCTGCAGCACAGACATCAACCTGTCTACCCCTTACCTGGAGGAGGATGGCACCAGCATGCTAGTGTCCTGCAAGAAGTGCAGTGTCCGGGTCCATGCCAGTGAGTACCTCTTACCTTCCTCTCCTCCTGTCGCAGCAGCATGGGCCTGCTTGCTGGAAGTTGTCCCTAGGCCTTCCCAGTTATGTATTCTTAGCAAGTTGATGGCTGGTGGATGAGTTTCCTCGTGGCTTCAGTACCGGTCCCAAATGCCTGTCAACTTTGGAGTCCCTTGGGTTGTGGGTGTCTGGAGATTAGTCCCTGGCTACTTATTAGGGAGATGTGCTAGTCTCTGACTTTCCCGGGTTATGGACCATGCTGTATGACTGAGCCTGGGACTCTGGCTCAGATTTCAAGGATTTCTGGCCTTTGGGAATGGTATCTGGAAAAGTATTGTTCATCCATTCTGACCCCAGCCCCTGGACTGGGTTTCATGTTCTCTTCCTGATGTTGTTACTAGGTTGCTATGGGGTGCCTCCCACAAAGGCTTCTGAAGAATGGATGTGTTCTCGGTGTTCAGCCAATGCCCTGGAAGAAGTGAGTATTCCCACACTCTTCCATTCTTCTCCAGAAGACTAGGGTGGCTTCAGGGCTAGCCACTTTTCACACTGGACATAGTTGATGCCCATAGCAGTTGGCTTAGGATTTGATACTCCATGATGTCCGTGTGTATTTGGAAGCTGTGCCAGTGCTGTGGGGGAAGACCAGGTAGCTGTCCTGTGGAGGAGCCATCACTCCCTGTGAAGAATTCAGCTCTGGGTCTGGAGTCTTGGAATGGGGCTCAGATGATTCGTTATGCGGTTATAGTTATGCATCATGGCCTGTTTCTTATAGGGGAGTCCTGGCTACAGGGCATGTATCTGAAGGCACACCTGCCTTTGCACTGCTTTCTGGTGTAGTTTGGAGTTGTCTGCAGGAAGTCTCAGGAGGGCAGACTGTATGGGAATGAATTACTGGTAACCATTTTCCTTCTGCTTTCTGGGCAGGACTGCTGTTTATGCTCATTGCGTGGCGGGGCCCTTCAGAGAGCAAATGATGACAGGTGAGTGTAGCACTATAAATAAAAGACCCAAAGCCTGATATTGGGGTTCAAGCTTCAACTGAAGAACAGAAAAGCAAAGCAGCTGGTCACTAGCTCTTGCCTCTACCTATGCTCAAACCAAAGGGGGGACTGCTCCCAACTTCACTGCTCCTCAGATTGACCCAGACTGCTATGCTCTCCTCAAGGTGACTAAAGACTGAATGCCACTACCTTTTATGCCTCTCAAATCCTGGCATTAAAGGGATGAGCTCTGATTCACTCTCCAATAGCCCAGGGTCTTGGACTCAGAGATCTATCTGCCTTTTCCTGAGTTCTGGGATTTAAGGTGTGTATCACCACTGCCCAGTCTCTATAGCTTGAGGCTAGCTTTGCTTTCTGAATCCTCAGGCAAGCTTTAATAAGTCATAAATAACGTATCACCACAGGTGAGTTAGTTCTCAGAGGTTCGTGACGCCCAGTTCTGAAGCAGCATGCACAGTGCTGTGAGAGCAGTAGCTGCTCCTGAGTTAGTCTGAGGACTTGGGCAGGACGTGGTATGAGGCTGGAATAGCAGCCCTAGACTGCCCACCTAACTCCATTTTCCCCTCAGGGGCAGAGATGTAAGTAGCATCCTTCTTTTAGAGGAGCTGACAGCAAGTGCATGAGAGATGATGATGGCCCTTTGAAAATGACACAGACATTTTGTGGCCCAGAAGTGAAGACACTGACCTTGTTACATACGGTTCGCTGGCTAGTGAGCCAGTGAGCCAGCCTGCCTGCCTGCCTGCCTTTATTTCTTTTTCAAGGCAGGGTCTCACTCTGTAGCCTTGGCTGTCCTAGAACTCACTCTGTAGATCAGTCTAGCCGTGAACTCAGAGATCCACCTGCCTCTGCTTCCTGAGTGCTGGGATTAAAGGTGTGTACCAATGTGCCCACCTTTCTTTCCTTTTTTTAAAGTTATGTGTATGGATGTTTCGCCTGCATGTATATCATGTGCACAGGTTTCCACAGAGGCCACCCACTGTTAAATCTACAGCAGTTTCTGGACTTCTTGGCCATCATACAGCTGACTCTCATTGAGTTGTATCGTGTGCTCCGTCAGATATACCTTCTCTGAGGGTTTGCTCCTGAAGGGCTTCTGTCTAGGGAGTTGCACACATCGGTTGACAGCAGCTGGTGGTGAATAGCTTTCCTCTGAGTGAAACCTCATGGAGGTCCAGTCATGCTCTTGCGATGGGTGGCTGCTTGGCTGTGCCTCACTCCTTTAAAGGCATGCCGCTGTCACCAGTGGTCATTACAATTCTCTCAGGCAGGCTGGACTGGCTGGTAATATTTCCTTATTTAGGGTGGAAATGGCTCCGCTTGAGCCTCTTTCTGCCCTTTAATCCCTCCCTGTCTACCCTCTAAGGCCACAAAAACAGACCTGTTCCCATACCCAACAACGGCACTGCCTCTAGTGCACACTATTTCGTTTCCATGGTTGTTGCAGGTTTTCATAGGGAGCTAATTGGGCCTTAACCCAGGACCTTGTATATTCAACACACAACTGCCAGTGGAACCCCAGCATGGTCTGATATTAAGAGATTCTGTGATCTTAGGTTTGTCCACTTGGGACCTGTCTGTTTCCCAAGAGGTGTCTGGGTGGGAAAAGCCCAGAGTAGTGAGTGCTCTCTGGTTTGTGCTCCCCTGAGCCCACCACACTGGGTCAACTGTGGTTCTGCTTATTTACCACAGGTTAAGAAGGTGGTGTAAAGGGGTTGATCCTGCATTAGCCTTGGGCAGAGTGTGGTACTGCGGTGCAGTACTTGGTGTGGTGGTAAATGACACTTTCCCTACCGAGTCCTGGAACCTGAGCTGACCAGGTGACCTCACTGGGTGATGGAGGAAGTTCAGTCAGCAGGCCCCCAGGCCTGTGGAAAGAGGAGACTGAGCCCTTCCTTTTTTGGCAGATGGGTCCATGTTTCATGTGCTGTGGCAATTCTAGAAGCAAGGTTTGTCAACATCGCTGAGAGAAGTCCAGTGGACGTGAGCAAAATACCTCTGCCCCGCTTCAAACTGGTAAGCAGGGAGGGGTTTATGGAATTTGCATACTTCCCCACTGATGAGTCTGGGAGGAATTGAGTGCATTTCTACTTGGCTCATGGCTTCCTTCATTCGTCCCTTTGTTTTGATCAGTTTGATTCTCACCCTGTGGCTAAATTGCCTAATGGGGACTTTACGTTGAGTATAGAGCAGGCCCTAGGTGTCCTCATGTTTTGGGAAGGGGTTGTTCTCGTGCATTTGGGAGGGAACACAAGAGGCAGGCTGCCAGTCCATGGACTCACGTGCTTGCTCCCTCTCTGCAGAAGTGTGTCTTCTGTAAGAAGCGAAGGAAAAGGAGCGCTGGCTGCTGTGTGCAGTGTTCTCACGGCCGCTGCCCCACCGCCTTTCATGTAAGCTGTGCCCAGGCTGCCGGGGTGATGATGCAGCCCGATGACTGGCCTTTTGTTGTCTTCATCACCTGCTTTCGCCACAAGATTCCCAATTTGGAGGTGAGAGGGCGTGGCGGTCTAGTCCTTGACAGGTCTCAGGACCATTTTCTCTGCACGTTGCCAACTTACTGTGTCATCCCACACCTTGATGGGAAATGTTAATGGGTTAGCAATTAAGAGATGGTCCCAGTCTGTCCCTGCTTTGCCTTGGCCTTCACAGTCCAGTGGCACTAAACCAACTGCGGCTTTTGCTTTGGTCGATCTGATCTGTTTCCTTGCTTGCTTGTCCCAGGTGATCTCCGTGCGGTTCTTGTATTGTTAATCTGAGCACGTTTTCCCTCACCCTAGGGCCAGGGACATCACCGCAGCTCTGCCTACTGAGAGCTGATGTCTCTGACAGTTGGACATTTCCTGCCTCATAGGAGGGACATGTGCAGGACATGTAGGACATGAGCTATAGGAGTCCTGAAAGGGCATGAGTGGGCAAGCAGAAATAGAAGGAAGTAAGAGTATTCATGGCTTCAGAAATAGAGGAGCAAGTCCTGTAAGAATGGGCATTTGTGGGAGGTGGAGTGGGATGGAGGGGGTGGGGGAGATGTGGAGAGGAATGGGCAGGAGAGGAGGGAGAGGAAACTACAGTTGGGATACATTAAATAAATGTTTTTTAAAAGATGAACATTTAGAATTGGTTCTGGGAACCCAGCAGGTAGTCATGGGAAGTGAACAGTGCCCAAGGGTGGAAATTCTGGACCGCCAGCCACATTTACGCTTACTTCTCTTTTTGAACGAGAACTTCCAGAATGTCATGATTCTGAGTCACTTGTGTGCAGATGTGCACATGCATTGGAGTGCATATGGAGGTCAGGACGGCTTTGGGGATCGGCTTTCCCCTTCTGCCATGCCTGCTTTGCTGTGTACTCCAGGCTAGCTGGCTACTGAGCTTCCAGGTGGTTCTTCTGGCTCCACCTCTCATCTAGAAATAGGAGCGCTGCGATTCCAGGTGCTTGTCACAGCCGCTAGCTTCTGTTTTGTTTCTTTTTTTCTTTTTGAGACAGGGTCTCTCTATGTGGTCCTTACTGTCCTGGAACTCACTCTGTAGACCAGACTGACCTCTAACTCACAGAGATCCGTCTGCCTCTGCCTCCTGAGTGCTGGGATTAAGGTGTGTGCCATCACTGCCTGGCTGACTTTTTCAATATGAGTTCCTAGGAGTGACCTCTATCTTCAGGCCTGGGCTGTAAGTGCATGCTGAGCCTCCTCACCAGCCCTGAGTCTACTTTAAGTGTTACACTAGTTGAAGGAATCAGAACTTGAGGCAGAGGAGTCAGTTACCTGAGGAGCAAGGGTGCTCTGAGGGGACACACAGAAGCACCTTTGAATACATGTCTTCTGAGAGTTGGCAGCTGGCTGACTGTTGTGGTCCAGGGAGGGAGGAGAGAGGGGTGTGGCCTGCAGGTACGTGAATTACTCCTTTGAGACCAGGAAGGATGCTAATATGGTGGAACTGCCATTCCGTGATGGGGCGGGGCAAGGGGTGAAAAGAGGGCAGGGAAGATCCTTGAGATCTGTAGAGTATCCAGGTGAGTAACCAGTAGGCAGCCTGGGGTCAGGATGAGAGGAAAGATTTGGTGTTTACAGCAGCTTTCAGGGGAGAGTTCAACCCGGTTTTCTTTGAAAACTGGACTCTGGTGATCCCCAGTGTAAAGAGCCGACCATGCTGCTCCTGAGTTACTTTGTGTCTAAGATGAGAGAGTCCCAGAGGACATCCCCCTCCCCCGCCCTCAACCCCAAGCCAGAATGCAGCTGGGGAAGACACAGGCTCTCAGCAGTGTGGCATGGTGAGTCAGGACACAGCGGGGAGCTCTTCCTGATGCCATCTGGGATCTGAGAAAAATCATCTCTGGTAGAGTTGACCTGGGTTTCACACTGTAGCCCCTTCATGCTTCCAGCTTGCTGTTTAGTCAGCTCTAACTGCAAGCCTGTGGCAGGCCTCCTACTTGTCTGGTTACTGAGACTACATGTGGGTCCCATGGTGCTTTTCTCAAGAAGGTGTGCATGAGACCTTAGACCAGTGGATCGATCTTAAACGCGAGGCTGAGACTGTGTTTGAGTAAAAGCCTGAGACAGCACTGAGCCCCATTTGGTGTCTGGAAAACATGAGCTTGGTCATGGAACAAGATGACAGATTTATGACTAACTTTACTCTGCAGTTCCTATACCTGCAGCCTGCTGGGATCATGAGGGAATTCGTGCTGTTAGTATTTTTTTATAACTCACTCTTCAAATGTGTGTTAAGCATCTGCCGCATCCCAGGCTCAGCTACTCCTTGTGTAGTATCGTGAGGTGTATATATAGTCGTATTGAAAGATCCATGGATGCCGAGCGGTGGTGGTGCACGCCTTTAATCCCAGCACTCGGGAGGCAGAGGCAGGCGGATCTCTGTGAGTTTGAGGCCGGGCTGGACCGACACCCTCCAAAACAATACAGAGAAACCCTGTCTCGTTAAAAAAAAAAAACAAAAAAACAAAAAAACAAAAAAAAAAAAAAAGAAAGATCCATGGTTAAATACACAGCGTGTCAGAGCACAAATGGTGCAGTGGGCAAAATCAGTGCAGGACAGGGATGTGGAAGAGTGGCTTGTGAGGAATGGCATCAGTGAGCAGGCACTGGGGGCTAAGAGAGCCAGGGTGCTTGCAAATGCGTACTGTAGCATCTTGGGTAGAGGCAATAGCAGTACAGAGGCCCTGCGTTAGGAGCATGTGTAGCACTTGTGTTCAAAGACTAGTGAAGAGGCATGTTTGCAGCAGTGTCTGGGGAGGGTTTGAGAGTGGCTGGACTTGAGCTGTTACATCACACATCACTTCAATGAAAAGGGCTGTGAAGTAGAATACTCGCAATGGCAGGACCTGATAGTGGGGGGGGGGGCACTTTGTTTGGAGTGGAGGACCTCTGGGAAGCTCAGTCCTTGCGTCCTTCTTGTGAGGGGCAAGCTAGTGCCCATGTCATTGGGGAGTATTGCTCAGGATCTAGGGCCACCAGCTTCCTATTAAGTGTCTGCCCAGATGCTTGACACATACCTGAGCTGTACACCTTAGTCTGTGTTACTTGGTTGGTTTTGGGGGAATCATGAAGGTTGGTTCCTGAAGTTTTGGATAAGATATACCGTGGTATGTAGACATGGTGAGCATGCCTATAATATTAGCACTTGGAAAGCTAAGGCAGGAGATTGCTGCAGATTTGAGAACAAAAACAAAACAACCAAAGAAAAAGACAGTGTTATGTAAGAACCAGTTGGCTTGGCGCTTAGGTAAGCAAAGCTTACAGAGGAAACATGGCCCTGGCTGGAATGACGGAAAGACCTGTTCCAGCTTCCATTCATCTCAGTCTTACTTTTCCCTGGCATATTGCCCCCAATGGGCCATGAAGGGGAGCTTATCGGCCCTGTCAGTGCAACCCATGAGTAACCTAGGCCATCTCTTCCAGCGTGCTAAGGGGGCCTCGCTGAGCATCACTGCCGGTCAGAAGGTCATCAGTAAGCACAAGAACGGGCGCTTCTACCAGTGTGAGGTGGTCAGACTCACCACCGAGACCTTCTACGAAGTCAACTTTGATGATGGCTCCTTCAGTGACAACCTTTATCCCGAGGACATAGTGGTAATGTCTGGAACAGGCTTCTGGGAGCATTGGGGACTGGGATCTCTCAGTGTTGCTAGCTGCCTGACTGTGGCCTCTTCCCTACCCACCTGGGTTCCCAAGCAGAAGGAAGCATTCATTCCGGGGTTCCTTTTCAAGGAAGAGTTTAAGTGCTAGGTACTCTGCTTCCTTCCCTAGAAGTTCATGTGAGTCGGCACTTCCGGCAGTTCTATGAAATATGTGTGCATCTCAGACTTTTAAATTATCCCTGATGGCATCTAGTGTAGGATGTGAGCCCACACTCTGGAGGCAAACCAGTGCCAATACAGTGTCATTGCATAAAAGCTGTGTGATTCTTGAAAAGAACGATCCAGCCCTCTTTTCCGCCATACCTTCTTGGGATGTGTATGTAGTTTGCTCTGGGCTCTTCTCAGGTGAGGGTTTCTGAGCTACACTAGAGACACTAGAGCCCTACCTGGAACTGGGCCTGCATTTCCTGGCTCAGTATTCAGAGCTTAGCTCGGGTTCCTCAGCCTTTGCCCTTTCCTCTTCACATGTGAGCCGAAGCACCCAGCATAGAAGAGCAAAACCGCTTCTTCCTGAACCATTTGGGTCTTTCTTCACACATTTATACCACATTAGCAACTTCGTTGCCAAAAACACATTAATTAGTGTCTTAGCTACTTTCTAATTACTATGACAAACACCATGACCAAGGCAATTTATAAGGCTTTTGTTTTCAGAGTTCATGATAAAAGGCATGGCAGCAAAAACTGCTGAGAGCTCATGTCTTGGTCTGCACACAAGACGGGAATGGATGCAACACAGGGACACACACACATGAAATACATGGCTAAGGGTCTTAACCTCAGAGCCCTCTCCCAGTGATACATGTCTCCATGAAGGCTGCATCTCCTAATCCTCCCAAAGCGGTTCACCAACCAAGACCATGCATTAAATGTGAGCCCAAGGGGCTATTCTCATTCAAGACACACAGTGAGCTCCCAGGCAATGTTACTGTGAAGATGAGGGTGTTCATAGCAGTAGCACAGCCAAGGCGCATTAAGGGCTCACACATCCCAGGGGCTGTGCTACAGGCAGCATGTCAGTGTTTCTCTTCTCACGCACGCTCTGAGAAGTAGTGCTCATTGGAAGAGTGCTCTTTTAGAAGAGATTTTTTAAAGCTCTCAAAGAGCTTGTTTGTGTACTTGTAAATTTTACCTACCAATAGTTATCCTATTAGAAGTTGAAAACTAAGATTAGTTAATATCTTTAAGTTTTTATTTAAATATGCCATATATTTCTCCAGTTTTACAAATATTTTTCAGGTCATTTCTTCTGTTCACTCTGTGGTTACATATTGTTGCGATTAACATAGGGAGTAATGGTACTTGCCTATGAACCCAGCACTGAAGAGACTAAGGCAGGGACCTGTAGGGTTCAGATCTAGCCCTGAGTATGTGGTGAGCATATCACAAAGACAAAAAAGTTAAGTGGACAAAGTATAGGAAGAAAATTTAACTTGACATAAATGCATAGTTGGAATGGAGAAAAACTAGATACAGTGTGAAATCAGAAAGGCCAGCGAGCTTGTTGTCATGTATGCAGTCCACCCACTGGCTCACTCTCAGCAGGTATTGGGCCTGGTTTATTGCACTGTATGCTGACCATTTAGAAAACACTGGCATACTGGGCTATGGAGATCTTCCAAATGATACTAAATTTTATTATATTTCTGGAAATTAAATTCATATTGTCACCCATCTCATTGGAAAACTGTAAATTTGGTAAGGATTGAGACAGTTTAGTGGGTAAAGGTATTTGTTGCTAAGCCTGAAGTTGTGAGTTCAAACTAGAGGGAGATAACCAATTCCTGCAAGTTGTCCTCTGCCCTCCACAAGTGTACCATGGTACCTGCACACACACCATAAATCAATAGTTCAATTATTTCTGAGAAGCTTCATGTTCCCAGCTTTGAGCCCACTTTTCTGAAATGCTAATTTTTGCTTGAAAGCTTGAATTTTGGGACTGGCAGTAGATACAATTCCTATTTTTCTCCTAGTGAGATGCTCGTTTCATTTGTTCTTAGGAAGGTCTTTGCCTCAGTAACCAGAGCTTGTCAGGCATTTTTCCCCCAAATACAGCCAGTGTTCTCTTTAGCCCTGGCTGACCTGGACCTTGCTATGTAGATCAGGTTGGCTTTGAACCATGGAGCCTATCTCCTGCCTCTTGAGTGCTGGGATTAAAGATGCATGCTTCCATGCCTAGCCCAAAGCTGGTATTCTTTTAAAAAGGAAAAAAAAAAGGCTCACGTGATCACATAATTGCACACGTCACAGGTGATTTCCTTTCTGTACACTGGTGCTAGAGATTGAATCCAGGGTCTGAGACCTACCACTGAACTACACTCCCAGCTTAGACACACGTTTACCTCCATGCGTACCCTGTGCAGCCTCCAGTGTCTTGTAGATAGTTACATACACACTAAGTAGTAAAACACAGCAAGGTATGTAAAGTGCTCCCGCTTCATCACTGCTCTGTGAAACCTGGCTTTTTTTGCCCACTTAAATTTTGTATGCACAGTGGTGAAGAGTGTAGTAGAAACTGAGAAAGCTTGGAGTCTTGCTTTGCACCCATGGCCTGTTTTTCATACACATCATAGATTTTCTGTTAATGTCAACACAACAAAAAGACTAATGTGTGTTTTGTTTTATGGTGCTGGGCATCAGAGCCACATCCCCTGGCATTGTTTTTCGTTTTATGCCAGGCCACACTGTATAGCCAAAGCTGGACTTCCACTCAGGCTCCTCTATCCATCTCCTGGGTGTGCCTCACCATGCTCCGCTAGATGACCCTTTCCTTCCTTGCCCTGTCTCTATTTCAAGACTGAGTTTCTTAGAACGTACTCAAATACAGTCCTGGCATTCCTCCATAGCAGACCCTGGGGAAGCTTAAGAAGGATGCACAGTGAGAGGGCACATGGATCAAGGGTTCTAGAACCCTAACAGCTCTTCTGTGCTGACTGTGTTTACTGTTTATCATACCTGCTTGGTGTTTTTGTATTGTCTGTTTGTTTTGCTCACCTAGAAGCGCCAGAGGTTGAGCAGATAAAATGAGGCCAACCCTGTGACTTATTGCAGCTTTTGACCCAGAGCAAGCTGCCTTTGCTGGAGCCCCTGAGCAGGAGCCTGTCCTGCCCCTCCTCCCCGAGTCGGTGTCACTTGCCACTCCCTCTGCTCTTTTTTCAGAGTCAGGACTGTCTCCAGCTGGGGCCTCCTGCGGAAGGCGAAGTGGTTCAAGTGAGATGGACAGATGGTCAAGTTTACGGGGCTAAGTTCGTGGCCTCCCACCCCATCCAGATGTACCAGGTAGCCAAAGGTTCTTGAGTCGGAGTTTGAAGGTGGGAGGGTACTTTATTAATTCAGGGTTTCCTCTTGGGCAGGAGGCTTGTCTTTGCTCTTGAGAACTTGCAGGTCCTAAGAATCTTCACATACAGATCTGGAACTCAGCCTTGTGCCTCCTTTGCTGCTGTGCTGTCAGACTTGGCAATCCTTACTATCTCGTCGCCTTCCTCTAGCTATGGGAAATCGCTACTGTGCACACAGGTCCAGCAAGACTCTGGTACCCTAGCTAAAGGCCTTTGTTTGCTTGGCAGGTGGAGTTTGAGGATGGCTCACAGCTTGTGGTTAAGAGAGATGATGTGTACACGCTGGATGAAGAGCTTCCCAAGAGAGTCAAGTCTAGACTGGTGAGTGTATGCTTTCTGTGCCCTTAGCTCCTGCCTCAAAGGGGAGGAGAACAAGGCAGGGGCAGGTCCCTTGGGTAGTCACTGGTCTGAATGGCTACAAAGTGACCATTTACTTGCCTTTTCTTTTGTAGTCAGTAGCTTCAGACATGCGCTTCAATGAGATTTTCACGGAGAAGGAAGTAAAGCAAGAAAAGAAAAGGCAGCGGGTCATCAACTCGAGGTACCGGGAGGATTACATTGAGCCAGCACTATACCGAGCCATCATGGAGTAGATGCCTCCAGGGTCTCAGAGGTCTCCAGCCATCAAGGCGAGAGCACTCAAGGGTTCCACAACACAGCAGACACTTGGAACTCAGAAGTCTCAAAAAGGAAAGCTGTACAAAGGAAAGGAATGAAATGTACGACCCCATCACCTTCTCACTCCACCCTCATTGAATTCTGCCATGAAAAGACAAGCCTTTTGGGGACACTTGGCAACCACTGCTGGTCTCCAGCTGAGGGGCTGACACTGGAATGCTGTGACTGCATCAGCCCCCAGTCCAAACAGGGGTCAGCTGTGCCTGCTGGGCTGATCACTCTGTTCCTGGCCCAGGATGTAGCTTCCTACCGCCCACCTGCATCAGCAAGGCAGAGGTGCTGGTGCTCGACCTGATTCCCTTTTATATTTATGTGTGTGTGTGCGTGCGTGCATGCATGCGTGTATGAGTGTGTGCGTGTGTGTATGCTGGTGTGTTTGGTTTGGATCAGCTTCTGACAGCCCCTAGCCTTCACTTCTTTGCCTCTGCAGGGCAAACAAAATGTGAAATTCTGCCCTCAGCTGAGCTGAGTCAGGGCCTGGGGGATGGCTAGAGGTGGGGTACCATCTGTCCCTACCTGGACTGGTGTCAAGAGGGTGTAGGCAAAGCTGTACTATTGAGATGCTAAGGAGCTGGCTGCCACCTCTTCGTCTGCCCTTGAAGTAGAACTCAGAGGTTACACACTATGTGCCCACACTCTTTAGGCACAGAGCCCCTGTGGCACAGTATTAGAGGGTGTGGGTGGGGACTGCCTTGAAGAGAGAATTTTAATGATGGAAACACAGGCAGAGCCTGGTGGGTGATTTTTGTCCAGAGGAAATCACAGTTATGCAGGGGCTATGGGATTAAGATGAACTGGGGCCACTGGAGGCCAAGGGCAGGTGTAGCTATGCCCTTGGTCGGGGTGGGGGGTACTGATTGAGGGGGGGTGGGACTAGAGGGCAACATTGAAGGGGTTAAACAGGTTTTTTGCTCCTCTTGAATTTGTTTGCCTGGGCCCAGTATTGGAGGGCTTCATACCTTGCTCTGTATACAGGAGTCAGATTTATAATACTTCCCTTTTTTTGTTACGTATGAACTCTATAAACCAAATTATTTTGAAAACTGGTGCATTACCTTGTCCTTAGCAATAAAATGTATTGAACAGAGAATGGACTGTGGTCTGCCCCATGGAGCCCACGTGGCCCAGGGTAGGCTGTGGAGCAGGGCCTGTTCACAGGTGGGTGCCATCTTTCTGTTAGGCAAAGCTCTGTGGCCCATGAGCATCCAGGCCTGTAGCTATTGGTGCCTCTTTCTGCTTTTCCTGGAGGAGGCAATGAAAAGTGTTAGAATACAGTCTTCTCAAGAGTTTTTATTTGGCTGGGCGTTGGTGGCGTACACCTTTAATCTCAGCACTTACCAGGCAGAGGCAGACAGATCTCTGTGAGTTTGAGGCCAACCTGATCTACAGAACGAGTTCCAGGACAGGCTCCAAAGCAATACAGAGAAACCCTGTCTCAAAAAACAAAACAAAACAAAAAAGTGTTTACTTGAACCCCATTTGATGTCTTCTCTGTCCTGGGCTGACTCACTTCCATCTGTGTGAAACTGGGAGGGAGTATGTTTTAGGTGCTTGAAAAGCTAGAAACTTACTTATTTTCTGCAGTGCTTGGTGAGTGCTTCCTGAGTGGACAGATGAATAGGGGAGCCAGAGCTGCGGGGCAACTCTAGGTTGAATAGTTGCAGGGCTTCTGCACAGCTTAGCTACTCCACCTGCCTTAGCTTTGTGCTCCTGCAGCAGACACCTGCCTACAGAAAGACCCATTGTTTCTTTGTATCCCTGGATCTTGGGAAGTGGCTACTGCTTCATACTGGTTTTAGAGAAAGGCAAGGGCAGAGTTGGAAAGATGTTTCCTGGAGCTAACTCCTCAGAGCCAAGGAAAGGAGGTTGACCTCTTTTCTCCACTCAGGGATTTGCAGGGAAGTATGTCTGGGAAGCCAGGTAGGCCTTGGCTTTTCTGGAATGGGAAGTGGGACCCAGAAGCATACATCTTTAGGAGGGAGGAAAACCCATACTTCCTTCCACGTGATGCTGAAGGACCTACTAATCCAGTTTTGGTATAATCCCAGCTCTATGGGAACTGAAAATTGAGTTGAAGTCTTTGAATGTATCAAGCAAACACTGCTGGTGAGCTACATCCACCCAACAGCCCTCTCCTCTCCTCCAAAGGTGGGCCCACCGTGGGATGGAGAGATAGATGGCTTAGCTATTAAGAGCACTTGCTCTCACAAGGGACCCAGATTCAGTTCCCACTAACCACTTGGTGGCTTTCATCTGCCCGTACCTCCAGTTCCAGGGGATCTTAAGCCCTCTTCCAGCCTCCGCAGGCACTAGAACATATATGTATACAGTAAAAACAAAAACACTGGGACCCACCAGTAGTTCAGGCTTCAGCTTACCAACTCTATCGCGCTTGGCTAAATCAACCACTTAAAAACACTTTTGGCCCATGTAATAGGCATAAGAAAACTCCAGCTCAAACAAATGTCGGGACTTCCCCAAATCTCACAAAAGTGGCCTGTGTGTTTTTTGTTCTGGGACTTGAGCTTGCAAAACTTAAATTTGGTTCTTCTCTAGGCACTTCCTAGCCTGTGCAGTCAAGTCTGGGCTCATGGATGACCACAGCCAAAGCAGAAGTCCCGCCTTATGTAGAGCAGGGTGCAGTGTTTAGGTTGGCATCCAAGAGTGGCAGGTTAAGTCCCCACCTCCTCTTCGGGGAAATTCTGAATTAAATTCTGCCTTGGGTGGATTATGCACTCTGCTGCGTGATGAGGGAGCAACCTCCTGAACTGCTGGGTATGTGGAGTGGTCTTGTGGCCCATTTGCCACATTTATACGAGGCTCAAAAATAAATAGGTAATAATGGATTTAGGTGGCTTCTTACACTCAGGATTGGACAGGGCCTTAGGAGCCTCCTAGGGGTCAGATCACGAGTGCTGGCACCTCAGAAACAGGCCCAAGGGGGCAGGGTCCTCCAGCAACCCGGTCTGACAACAGAGCAGTGGGGTGGGGACAGGAGACTAACTCTGGGAGCCAGAGGGGACCTGACCGCAGCGGGGCTGCTCCACGCGACTCTCCTCCTCAGCCCCAACTCCCGCAACCGGGGATGTGGGGTGGACTCTGCCTCCTGCTTCCATTGGGTCTCCCGGTGCCGGGCCCGCCCACCCCTGCGGCGAAGCCCCGCATTGGCCTGCCCGGTGCTCCGCCCGGTTCCGGTGCGCCCATTGGCTGCCCATGCCCGACCCCCGGCGCGGCCGCCGAGGCGGACCCCGGGATTGGTGGTCCCGCTGCTGCGTCCTCACCATGGCGGCGCCCGTGCAGCCCGCCGCGTCCTGGGCGCCTGCCGGGGTCCTCTCGGCTGTCCCCGCTATTCGGGCTGCAGCCACCTCCCCGCTCCGCGTGCGCCCTGGCGCCGCCCGATCCCGGCCTCCCACTCCGCTGCGGTAAGGCCTGCCCCGCGCCCCGACGCAGTTCTCGGCTGCCGCGCCCCTTCCCCGGTCAGGCCGGCCCGAACCGTGCTGGGGACCGAAGCCCGGGTGGGGGCCAGGCCTGAGGAGGGCCGTGCAAGCCCGGCCGAGCGCGCAGAGGTCACCTGCGTGCAGCGCCCCGGAGCGCGCGAGTCTGGGCGCAGAGAAGGGACGCGGTCACCCAGGACCCGCTGTGGGACGAGCGCAGGAAAGTCCGGGGAAAGCCTAGCGGGAGTCAGCAAGAGTAGCGGTTGTCATCCCTGCCTTCCCCGGGGCCAGATCCTCGGAGTGACCGGGTCAGTTTGTCAAAGTACGTCTTCTCGCTACCTTTCCGTCTGGAGTGTTTCTCCATTGTCTTCTCGGTGATCTTGTTTGCGAGAGAAAATCTTGGCGAGGTCCGCAGATTTGGTTAAGAGGATGTCCCACTGATGTGTTTAGACTCCTTTTTACAACAGCACTCATTTTTATGATTCCTCAATAAACCTCATTTTTGTTTGTTTTTCTCGAGTATGGGGAGGGAGTGAAAACGATAAAACTGAGTCACTGTAATTAGCCGAGGGAGTGACCTGGTGACAGACGGGCGGACGACAGCTGTTATCCCAGAAAGCAAAGAGTACTTAACACATTTCTGTGAGGTCCGTTGAATTATTGGTACTATAAGTAGTGGACTATGAAAATAGAAAAACCACGAATTAGGTTCCCGCTATGTAGCCCAGTAGACATGACAGTTTTAGTTGTGTTTGTGAACTTTTAACTAAAGACTCAGAGGAAGGGTAGCCCAGGTCCATAGGTGCATACCTGTAGTATCCAGAAGCTGAAGAGGAGGATTGCTTCAGAGGCCAGCCTGGGCTACATGGAATAATACCTGGTCAATAAGCACCACAAAGCAAGACCCAACCTCAAAAGACTGTAAAAAGAAAAGAAAAAAGATAAGATTAAAAACTGAAGCAAAACCTTATGACCAAATGGGGTTTTCATATAATCTAAGGTAATGGACATTTTGAAATATGAAGTGGTGCCAAATTTTCCATGTCACAAGTCTGAAGTCTGTGTGTGATGACAAGTTAAGTTAGTAATGGTGAAACAAGCAAGTGTGTTCTTAGAGACTGATTGGCTTGCTCATATAGTCAAGTGTCTACTGAATACATGTTTTGTGCAAGACATTGACTTGAGGGAAACTCAGACAATTAAAAGATGGAGCATGTTCTCTTAGACCTATGTAGGATAGTTGTTTGAATGAAGCACACACAAACAAAAGATAACTTAAGATGTGGCCTCTAGAATTCCAAGACCGTGGGTGCTGGGAGAAATCCAGGAGAGGAGAGCGAGGTGTTGAAGGAATATTTTGTGGGAAAACTGAAGTTTTGAGTTGTGACCACAAAGAGTGGAAAGGCTGCTTGGCGGAGAAGTGAGCCAATGAAAAGTGAGGATGTGGCAGGGGAGGACTCGGGAGTGCCTGTGGGTGGTTCCAGGGCATTCTTAGTTAAAAAAAAAAAGGGAGGGAGATGAGGTTCTAGAAAAGGCAAGTTGGACTAGGGATGCAGTTCAGTTGGTAGAGTCCTTATCTAGCATACAAGAGCCCTGGATTTGATCTTCAATGCCATCTAAAACCAGGTATGGTGACACTCTTGCCTATAATCAAAGTACTTTGGAGGTAGGGACATGAGGGATCAGAAAGAAGTTCAGAGTCATTCCTGGCTACATAGTGAGCTTGAGGCCAGCCTAGGCTACTAGCGACCCTCTCTTAAACAAAATCAAAAGGCAGGCTGAAGAGGCATCTTTGTTCTGTGAGGAACAATGGATAAACAAATCGTCATATGGACCTGAACTTGTCAGGAAAGAATTCAGTAAGTAGCAGTTAAGTTGTATTGTCGCTTTTAGAGTTAGCTTCAGTCACCACAGAGCTGTATTCAGAGTTGCTTCTTGCCTTCATTTATTCGCTTTGTGTGGTTGGTGACAAGTTCCTAGTGCTGCCACCATACTGCTCTGACATCAATTTCTTTCAACTCTTGGAGTCATCACACTGTTTGGGGCCTGCTGTTTCTGGGAATTGCCCAGAAGCCCACTGGACAAGTTTTTCTTTCCTACTGTTATCATCTCACCATCACCCATGGGTGTGCCACTTCTCTGGTGTTCTTTAGCTCCTTACTGTTTGGTTAGGCCCCAGAGTAGCCTGGCATTGACAGGTTATTGCCATACCCTTTGATATATTACGCTTTTTAGGTCGGTTGAGCTACTTGGCTTTGTATTTTGTTGTTTGAGTGCCAATGTGTTGGCACATGTTGACTTTTTTGGTCTTAAATAACCCTCTTCATTCTCCATCATTGCCCCTGACTCGTGTTTTATGGCCATTTGATAGGGAACTTCCTTTGTAAAGCCTTTTTGTGCCTTTCCCCCCCCACCTAAATGAGTTGTCCCTCTCTAATTCTGGGGGCTCTACCTTTTGTTTTTGTATTTGTTTTATACTGGTTTTCTTGTGTATGGATGTGTTGTGTTTGTTTGGTGTTTTTTGAGGCAAGATCTTGTCTAGCTAACCCAGGCTGCTCTTAAACACTTTTTCTCTTTAAACAACCTCATGCAGCCCAGGTTAGCCTCAAACTCAGTGAACAGTAGCGGAGGGTGACCTTGAATTTAGATTCTT